TTTCACTGAATTCATAAGCACCTTTACGTGCATCATGTTTCAAGCCCGCACATTTTACTGCAAGTTCGACAGCTTAGACTTTGTTTCTCAAATGTGAGATGTCTATAAGGCCCTTTTCTAAACCTACATGGAAAGCTTTCCTCTTCATATTCTTCCTTTCGATCTAAGGCATTCTTGACGGGACCATTGGCAAATTATATAGCTTGAGCATGCATTTTCTTGAAATACTCTTTTCTAACGATAGATGTTTCTCACAATAGAGATAAATAGATGGCCTTCTTATGATGTACCAAATGAATGACCTTTTTCTTTCAAACGACGCAGCCCTTGCAGAATCCCACACAAAATGCTTTAGAAATACCTGAAAATCCGTTTCAACGTAGCAACTGGCTCTAAAGACAACACTTTAAAAGCTTAAGTGCTGTGACACACGCCTTCTATTAAAATTTTCTCACGAAAGAAGAAGCATTGATTGCAGACAGGTTTTAAGAGAAGCGTTGACCATACCACCGTACAGGTTACGTCACGAGCTAACCGAGTCGGCGCTTTAGATAGGATATGTTTCAAATCAGACAAGACGAAGCGTCTTGGTGTTTTAGCATATCTTGTCCTACACAGTATTGCCCTGTTCGATCTATTCAGCTTCAATTCTCGTTCCCAAAAGTACAAAAAAGATCAACAGATAAGCCACACCTTTCGGAACTGTTCAGTACAGGAACAGAAAAGCTGTCCAACTAGACGAGCCCAAACACGGGAAAGCTTCTTGGGACAATCACTTCATTGGATCATTGCAACGCAGTCCAATTAGCTGTCACTTCAGAACCTTAATTTGAGCTTAAGCTTTTGTGCAGAGGTCAAAGCCTGTGCTACAAGGTTCTGCTTTTTCAAACAAGCAGACAAATGGCATAAAAAGGTAATTCGATAGAGCGGCATTGGATCTGAGAATTCGATACAAAATATTCCAAAAATTCCGGTGTCTTGTATGGACGGCCTTGAAACAAACCTGAAATTTTTCTGAGCTGAAATTTAAATGTCGTATCCTTAACCAAAAAACCTTTGCCAGCAGTCAAATACAAAGCAGTTCTATCAATTTCAAAGACCGTGTCGAAACAATTCAAAACAAGTTTCCAAAATGTTTACTTCGAAACCACTTCGGCGTCAGCGCTACCATGACCAAGGCTTTAAAAATTTTTTCCTGGTCTTAGCAGCAGGACAAGGCATTACGCTTTTCAGGAAAATATATCATCCTTGGTTGGCGGCGATAAAACTTGAACATCTTGGAGAGCTGTTTGTTTTATACCTGAATATCATTTAAATGCTTTTTCACTCCAATTTCATTTTGGTATAAATTTTCGGCTATACTTTTCAAGGTTTCAGGGCAGCTGCAATATTTTAGCATACTTTATACTAGAAACAAGAGCAAGCCCTATTGGTGTCAAATTATTATCCCAGTTTAAGTATCAATTTTTGTAGTATTTCAATAAAACGCCAAAGGCAACCTCAGGGCAAAAATCAATAAATCGAGAAGGGGCCAATTCGAAGATTTATGATAGCAGTGTGGGCTAATTGGCAATTTGTAGTTTTATGGTGGGGGCTTATTCGAGGGGGAGAGCCTTTTTGAGGGGGGGGGGGCAATTCGAGGATTTACGCTAAGTTCTATGAGGGAAAGCAGTCACAATGTCATATGTTCAAATCCTGGAAATGACTTTAATATTCTGTTCTGTTTTAAAAAGAAAGTTAACACACTGAGATGCACAAAAAAGGTTGCTTCTTCATATTTAATCCAGTTACTATTTGTTGTTTTCTTGGAAAGCGAAACATTATTGGAAATAGCAGTACAATTTGCTATCCCCCTGACAAAGTATGCAACCTCTGCCCTACTAGAAACGGAAAAGCAATTCCTTTACTGTTTCGCGCTTTGCCCCTGTACAACCAGTTTGCAGAGTATTCTAGATGCATGCACGAGGTCAGTTTAGTTAAATGCAAAAATTGGGCACGTATCTTTTGGTTCATTACACGTGAAGGGCAAAAAATTGACAACATGGTAGAGCAGTGACTTTTTTCCTAAACACAAATTGTTAATAAATTATTTATTTGTTACTTTGTATTTTTCAAGCTCAAAGGTATTCGTGTGTAAATATTGATAAATAATCACACCGAATTAAAAATAGCACTTTTATAGTAAACCTCTGAAAGAGAAAAGATCCAAGCAGAAAACGTGTCTATAAAGATTGTGTACCCGCGAGACGTGGATGTAAATTCTAATACACCTAAAGCTACGTTAGTTTCGAGGATAGTTATAACTAATAAATACTAACATTAAACTGGATCGGAGACTGTATGTCAGCCTGGTGCAGAAATAGCAGACAGATTCAGCTAGAAAACAAACCGTCTTTATCAAACTTCAAAATGCTTGTGAAAAAAGATTGCGTAGTTTTTTCTTCACAGGCAAGATAAAATACAAACTTTTCGCCCCTTGACCAAAATTTCACTAGATTGGCATTGATTTGTTGCTTTGAACGACATTGATTTTGAATTATTCATGAATTTTCAGTCAGAAGAAAAAATCATTTTCAGCATCTTCAAAAAGCATCGGCTGATTTCGTTATCTTGCCCTCAACTTTTGGTTATACTGAGAAATATGAAGCTGATTTGATAAGAAACTTCCTCAATGTAGCCAAGTCCTTTCATTTTAAAATTTCGTTGCAGGTTATCATGTAGCTTTTGATCTCAGCAACATTTTCGACGTGCAAGCTTTTGTGCAAGTATGTTTTTATAAAATAAAAAAGTGGTGATAATTTCCAATTGTTAGAAAAGTTCCAGTGTTTAAAAACCTTTCTTTAATTTTAAAGGCAACTGATTTTCACCATCTTAAAGAAAATATTCTATCTTTGTGAGGCTGTTCATCACTGGTGTGAAACCTGTAAGCGAGGCTCGGGCATTGCAAAATACAGCAATGTGAGGCTGGTATTCAAGAGAGGTATTTGGGTCATTGTAACGATTAACTGACAAGACGATTTCGTGTTATAGAAAAGTGTATCTTAGTGTCATAACTGAATGGTCGGAAGAGGACAGCCAGTAAAAATATCTTGTTGTTCAAAAAGTTCTTGTTGTAAAAACATCACTGCATGACATATTTTTAAACCAGCTATTCTGTCCGAAAGTGTGACAGAGAAAGGTGCGGGCTGAACTATGTTGGAATTGGTAATCGCTGACTGGCAGATTTGAGAAACACGGACAAATGGCCTTTCTTCTGCAAACAGATGCAGATTTTTGTTATGAAATGTGAAACTGATGGCGTCAAACTGACGCAGATTCTCTATATCGCTTTGAATTTATATAAAGGATTCACATCTATGCCATGCCCTGCTTACTATAAGAATTATTATAAGAGCATGAGCTTATCTTTATTTGAATTAATTTAGGCATGTTGGCACGTAAACAATTGGCACGTACAAACATATGTCACCTTGTCACATAGAAAAAATTATAAGAGCATGTACAAACGTATGGGACGTTGGCATTCAACAAAAAATTGCACGCTTGAACAATTGCACGTTCTAAGCTTTGGCACGTTGACACCTCCAATCCTATGGCATGTTGGCACTAAAAAAATTATGCACGCTTGAACAAAGGCAAGTACCAAGCTTTGGCACATTGACACGCAAAGACCTATGGCACACACGCAAGTAGCAAAAAAGCACGTAGGAACTTACCAAGCTTTGCACTTACGTACGTACGACGATATGTTTGGTAAGTTGGCAGACACTAAAGCTACGAAGAGTTAGCATAGGTTCCAAATCTTTGATTGGCTGAGCGACCAAAATTCTCAATACTCCATTAGCCAATCAGAATTCAAGAATATGACAACAAACGTGCCTCGCAGCTAGTTTTAGGCCTATTTTGCACGATGCTACCACTACCCAGTAAAAACAATAGCGTAAAATGTGCTGAAAGATAAACTAAATCTTTTTTGAAATATTGAATCTGTGGTAATTTTTTGAAAAAACTGCCGTTGTACTCAGACAAATCCGAGATCTTTCTATTCAAGTGATTATTAATACTTAACGATTTTCACTTCTCCATTGACCTGCACAACACGTTTACGTGCTTTAAGACCTTCTACTGCAAAAACAACCGAATACATGTCACATGACCTATAAAGTAGTTTGAATGATTAATTAATTATTGGCTGATTAAATAACATTTTAAAGCCGGACGAAAATCTGAAGTTGAATGCCAAACCAAAAGCACGTTGGCGCCAAATAAATATGCTTTTATTTTTCGATGGACCTCAAAATCGCAGCAGATGAAGTTTGCACTTTCGCTGTTTAGGGCTATTTAGGAGTCGGTTTCAATTGCATTCCAATCAACCATCTATGCTACTACAATTCGTTTAAGTGCACAATTGTATTAAAAAGCGAACAGCCTTTCGTCTAGGAAAAATATTCCATTTTTGATAAATAAAAACCTAAAAAATTTGACGTTAGCAACATCTGCCGTTAACTGATGACAACAGGGGAACGGCGTGAACCGAAACTTGAAGATACAGTCTTTTTTTCTGGCCTTCTCAAATAGGTGGCCAGGGGAAGTTGATAGGACTTCCACATTAGTGTAAACAAATGCCCAGAATTTATATTTGTTTTACTTCATAAGGATCAAAATGGGCCTTTCCGTGTTTTAAAAACTACAAGTTGGTTATAATTGCAAAACAAAAGAGTCTGAATAGTTTGGTTAATGAATGGAAATGGTGGGTGGAAGTAGATTGAGTGTAAGTAGATAGGCGTTTAAAAATGGCTTTAATTCGAGATATGCGGCGTCTGGGGATACGGCGATAATAAGACGCATAGTCGCTCACGGCCAAACATTATAAAGTCAGGAAGCGTCATTTTCTACTATATCCTCATGCAGTCTATGACGTATCGATGTCCTATCTAGAATTTTCGAATGTGAAATGTAATTTGTGAGTCAAAGCATTTTACTGAAAAAAGAGAACTTACCTCAGCGTTGGTAGGGTGAATGCCAATAAGATTGTTAAAATCCTTTTTCTTGGCACCAAGTTTCAAGCCAATTGCGAAACCTTGGGTAACCTCACCAGCGTTAGGCCCCAGCACATGGAAACCGACGACCCTTTCCTGAAAACAAACACACAACAATAAGCTTGCTACACCATATGCTAACTAACAAAAATGGACATGAATTTACCAGAAACCTCAGTTTGCCGCGTCTTTTTAGGCGGACATCGGAAGGCTTTGCTACTCTGAAGCTAAAAGGGGAAGACGCATTTGAGATTACCCCTGTCAGGCAGCCTCTAATTGGATTCATGCGATACTTGAATTAGAGGCGACGTAAGACCAGCTGTCTAAAACGATAATTTTGTTAAGCACTGTTCATGGTTTTGATTCTGTTAAAAACTGTTACTTCATGAAGAAGTGCGAGCAAAGAAGGAGGCGGTTCTAACAGGCCGAACCCAAAATATTAAGGCAGATTTCGCTAATAGCCAGATATTCGTAATTAATTGCTGGATGTGATAAACTTGCTTCAAGCCATGCGCTTGGCGACACTGAAGTCGTTGCCTTATCAGCTGACTTGCGACACTGTAGTCGTTGCCTTACCAAATATAACCCAAAGCAACGACGTATGTGTCGCTAGTCGCTGATTCGAACACGCCTGTCTAACAAGGCCAGTCAAGATAGCTTTTGAATTTCCAAGCCGAGATCCTTCTTCAAATGATCCGGGAATTTTCCATTTCCCCACGTCCTCTACAAGCTCATATAATCTATCCCAAGCCAGTCTCAAGTCCCTTTCTGGCACGACATCCTATCTCCTGCCAGTCCAAGACACATTTCGCCGCACCTTCATAAAAATTGTCCTTGAAGAAAAAAGCTCGCCAGGTTCGTCACACAAGGCTGTATTCGAAACTTGTCTTGGTATTGTCACTTCTTCACATTTTCTGCTTGCATAATTTCCAAAACCCTGCTACACTTTATTCATATCTTACTGTATATTATGTTGCAAGGTTGACGAGGCTATAGTGTTAAAATATGTATACACTTCATGTAGGTCTTTTAAACATAAAGCTGCCCCTTTATCAAGAATTCAATAGCTTTTACTAGGTGAAAAAGTTACTCTGTTTCTTTAACTACCAGATTAGAATCATCAATGCCTCTGGCAATTCTTCGCAGAGTTCTAGCCAACACCTCGGCGACGCAGACGTGAGACAGCCATTGATATAATTGACATAAAGAATTATTGGTTTTTAAAGATATAAAGAATTTTGAAGATAACGCTTATTTCTCGAGCATTAAAAAACGTTAATGCCAGTAATCAGCAATTCATCTTCTTAGCAATCCAGCATTAATTATTTGAAATTGCAAAGTCTTCGAAATAAATTTGTTTGGTTTAAAGTCAGTCACAAAATGTTACAAATGGGATTGCATAAGTTGTGGTTGTAACTAGTTGTAGTATGGGCACTTGGCAAAGCCATGATCACGATCGTTGGAAAGTAAACAGCTTTATGCGAATCTTTTCTCTTTGAGTTTGTAAAATAGCCGAACTACAAGTGAAGGTGTTCCAATCCTTCAGACTGCGATCAAGATGTAAACAACGGTTTTGTGAAGACCACAGACTCAAATGAGCTGATCCGACCATCTGCTGTTAATTCAAACAAATGGTGTATGTGAACCAAAACGTGTCCTAACTTCCATGGACTACTCTTAACATTGCCTGCCAACTTTCATTATTGTACGTGTGCAGGGCACACGAAGCTGAGATAAGTCGGCGAACTTGATTGAAGAAGTTAAGAGTGTATGTACACTTACGTGATCAAAAATAAAATGGACGGAAAGGCTGAAATGATAGATGGAATGAACAACGGAGAAACAAAAAGTGACAAATAGGGATCGTGAATACATGACATTGAATGACGTAAAGAATATCAACGCTAGGGTGCGAAAATAAGAAAAAAGGAATAAGAGGGGAAAGAAGGGTATACAGACATATTGGAAAATGAAACTGCATCGACAAGAATACTAATATTTAAAGTCTATTGGAACCACTTTACAAGGAACCTACATTTAGAAGGCCGAAATATTTGAAGAACTTATACTACTAAAAACAAAGGAACTTTTCGATTTGAAAATTTTTTATAATTGCAAGCATCAAAAACTAAAAAGCCGGTTCCATTCATTTGCAGCCAATACTCGCATAGATTGTTTGCTATTCATGTGTCAAGTGCTTCATTGAGTAGTTTCCGCATATGCTGTCTCGCCCCTCTCTCTATTTTCGATAAAAAGAGGTAGAGCAGTAACAATTTATTAGGATGAAGCCACAAAAAGCTGCAAGTAAATATGAGCAGGATCAAGGCACGGAGCCCATCGCAGGAACTTAAGCAAACGAAGAAAAAAAGCTTTTACTGAAATTATCAGTTTCAAATGAATCGCCATCAAGACGCAGGTGAAATTTAATCAAAACAGCAGAAAATCTTTCAAGTCCTGATGTGATTTTGGAAAGAGCATCAAAAAATTCAAACTTTTTGGCTTATACCAGCTCTAAAAAAGGTCATTAGAGAGAATTATCCAGCAAAAGTACTCGGTTCTCGTCTGTTCCTATCCCTTTCAGCTGTACTGACGTCATAGCTCTTTAGAAATCTCAGAACGAATTTAAAGATACTTTAAAGACAACTTTGAAAAAATGCTTTTTGACTGATAAGTAGTTAAAACGTGACATCTGAGTAGGTCATCAATTACAAAATGTAGGGAATACGTTTCAAGAAGGCAATACTAGAATCTCAAATTTTGCGCGGTTGTGGCTAAAGCGAACAAACAAAATTAGCAAGCCGGCCAACTGAGAGACTACTGATGACTACATACAAAAATATGACAGCGCATTCGATTAGTCGCGTAACCAGTGCAAATCTTGTAAACTCGCGGTCAAAGAAGCAGATAACAAGTTTAAATCTCCTCAAGTAAAATCTGTGAGTATGAGTTAGAACAAGTGAAAAACGACGAAGCTAACGCGCGACCTTTGCTACGAGCCTGTTTGGCGGTACCCGGCATTTCAATATGCTAACATAAAGCGACAAAACAGTAGGAGCAAAAAGCCTAGACAAAAAGCAACGGCGGATGACAACAAAGAGAATCTTCTGACCAATTAACAAATCCTGCTTCGCTTTGCCAGCATAAAGCTTCTTTCCTTGTTGGAGAGAAGAACAAGCGTAACCCTAAACAAATTGGAGAGAAGAACAAGCGATCACACGTCCTTGTAATAAAAGAGTAGGAACAAAACGGGGGGCATTCAATAGAAATTCTCATTCACTCGTCCTCGGAACTATTTCCTTCCTTGTCATGCCTGCTGAAAGCGACTAAAAGTCAATATCTCCTTCCATCCAGCCACAGCTGCTGCTCAGCCAGCCACAAATTCTGTTGCTTCAACCCGTCCATGCAACATAAGAGTAAAAAGCAACAGAACATTGGCTAACAAGAAAATGCCAAAGAAGAGCAGCCAACAGAGAACTTCGAAAAATCAATACTTGCCTCGTCCGCCTTATTGCAGATAATTTTTGCATAACAGTCATTGTTATCTCTTTCTGCAACGGTAAATTCCAAAGGAAAGAAATTTGTATGGTAAACTTCAATATTGTCTTCACCAAATTTCGAAATGGCATCCTCTTCAGAGAAACCACAGCAGCCATACTCAAGCGGCGTGAAGACAGTCGTAGGCACATTGATGTAATCCGTCTAAAATTGAAATAAAGTTTTTAGCTTATACTTTCAATAAAAATACTTTTCTTTTTAAAGGAAAAGGGAAATTTTGTACATGAATTTCAGCTACCTGTTATGCTAGACATTGCAAAAACTATACCTGAAAATACAAAAAATGCAAAATCAACAGCAAGATTTGGGTCAAAATTACCCGAAAAAATGGAATGTAAGATTTTACAGTTGAAGTAAGAAATTCATAAATAATTATTCAAAGATTTCGAAAATGATATATTCCTATGAATTCTGTAAGGAAATTTCACAGAAAAGCTTCGAAAACAAAACTAATTAAATGGGTATCAATAAAAAATACAGCTGGAGAGACATACTGGAGGCTGAGACTTTTTTGTGGTAATATATAAAACAAGCCATTCAGTGATTCCCGACGCCATTAGTCTATAAGGGGCAATACAGCACTAAACACAATGGCTGCCTATTTCACAAATGTTTTGACACTCGCATCCTGCCAAGGTATTCGATATATCTCCAGATAATTACAATTTGATAAAAAAAGTTTCAAGTATCATCACTATAAGGTTTCATACCAAATTAATCGCGCTTATCCTCTACTCACAATCAATCTTTATGAGTTAGTCCTTATTGACATCATCAAAGCGCAATAGAATTCAATGTGACGTCGATAACACTGAAATAGTCTACTAGCCTAGTGTTATAGAGAATTTATTTGTGTAACCAAAAGTTTATGCAAAACTTTACAGAAACAAGAAGATTCAGATGGCCGAATGATGCAAGCAGGCTTATCACAACGCTTGTGAAAAACAACTCAAAAACAAGTGAAAAACAAGTGACTGCTGACCGATAACATTCACTCAAACAAGCTCCATGAAAGCCGAGAACAAGCTGTCATGGTGTGGAAAATGTGATTTACACGAGGCCTAAGCTCTGGCATGATCTTCAAAACAACATTAATCAACCATCAAATCTCACAAGATTTAAGAATAGATTAAAAACTTAACGATGAAAAGAAGAACAAATTCAAGTTATGCAAACATCTACCAGCCCAGGTTGAATTTTTGACATAATTATCTATCTATCGAAGAACAACTTTGAGTTGTTTTGGAAAAATAATTTATCTTCCAGGAAATATTTTCTTTCAATTTTAGCATGGGTTTTGGAAAATTGTTTTTTATTCTTTGTTATACCTATAATTGATATCAGTACAGTAAATTGCAAATAGTAGGCTTAGATCGGCTTGTATTCTTACTATAATTATTTTAAGCTTGTTGCACAGAAATAATAGTGAAAAGTTTTTATTGCAATTCAATTTCATTATAATTAGAAATCCCCATTACATAGAAAGTCTGCACTGGCCAGCCAGGGATAACAAGATAAGACTTTAAAAACTTTAAATAAACAGAATTAAAAAGGACCAAACTCCGGGAATTATTATATAAAAGCAACAAAATATGATAAGGAATCTTAAAAAATTGCAAAACAAAGTAAATGAATAAAAAAGAACTTTTTTCAGGTGCTGCAATTTGATGGAATCAGAACAAATCAATACAATCTACTATCTAATTTCATCATGCTGCACGAAATGCAACAAAAAATTCTCTTCAGAGATAACTTATCGCAAAAATCAGGAGAAATCCGAGTTTGCTAAAAGGGTGGAAATTACGAACAGCCTATCCATTAACTGAAGCAAAAATTGGTCAAAAGATCCTGATGTCATTTCCTGTGTTTGACAAAGATGATTCTGAAGTTTAAAATATTAAAAGAAGCATTAGCCTGTATTGCTTTGCAGACACAGTGTTTTCAGAAGGCTCTCTACTTAGCTTTGGTATCAAAATATGACTAGAAAAAAGTGCAGATAAACGAAAATTAAAAAAAATCTGTACGAAAATGTAGTTTGAAACAGGTTGAATGCAAATAAAAATTGTCCAATTAAGTTTATGAACGAGGATAAATTATCCATAGAATCACGGTTGACAATAACGTCCGATGAAAACTGATTTGAAAAGCTGGGGAGAGGATAGAGTTTATACAATTTCTTTGTTTAAAAGAACATATTCGGCCAATTCTCAAATTCTGCAAAAATGAAACATCGGAATTCCATCAAAATAATACCTTACATTGGTTTAATGAGATACGATACATTGGGCAAACATTAGAAAAATTAAACGCAATTTAAAAGTTTCAGTTAAAAGCAAGATTGGTGAAAATATAAAAAAAACATATTATTTGTAAAACAGAAGAAATAAAGAACAAAAAAAATAACTGGCAGCAATCTTCCGAAATTATCATTCTGTCTCCGCTGAAAACTTTTATGTTCATTGTTTTTTGGTTTGAAATTTGTATTGAAGACAACAGTGTCTTGTGAATCGTTCCGTCAAATTACAAAGAATATAAGGATTGATAAAAAACTATGCTCACTTTTTCTGTTCCTCCGCCAAACAATCGTCGTGCAAGCAATCTTCCTGCTTGGATGGCAACAGGCGTGAGCTGCAACTTGCCCTCTAAGATATCGCCTATCGCATGTATGTTCGGGATATTCGTTTGCTCGAAGTCATCAACAAAAACTCTGCCTCTAGGATACAAATAATGAAAATCAAATGAATTTTTGTCTCAAACATCACCCCTAAAAAAATGCAAAAGTTAACAAGGAAATAATTATTTAACTCTGTCCCCGTGAATTCAACCACACTTTAACACTAAGATACAAACAATCTAAATCAAGTGACTATATGCCTGTAAATTAGTACCCATGAAAGTACAACATTTTTAGAGAAACTTTAATGAAAGTTGGAAATAGGAAAGGCAGTATTCAGTCAATTCAGCGCCTACAAATTCCATCAGACAATACTCTTAACATAAAAAGAAAATGGAGGGATTCCAGAAATGGGTAGAGACCAGATCCAAATGTGGACATATTGCTGTTCTTTCCATTCATATCGATTTTCAACTAATAGAGGTAACCTTATGAATGAACAGGTTATTTGAGTCCTGTGTAGCCTTGAGGAGTCATGGGAAACTCTGTAAGTAAAATAAATGCGTGACATTACTTACCTTTTGTAAATAAACCTACTTTATCACATAATAAAAAGCGAAGTGTAGATCTCGAATTAATGCTAGCATAAACTAGCATATTTGGGGTTCGATTTGAGGCGTTCAAGAAGATTCTACAGCAGAAAAGAAATACACTAGTAATGTTAATATTTAACATGGAATCTACGTCACAAGACTGTATAAAATAAAGGGAAAATGTCATACTTAGAGGTCAGCTTTACGCCAACTTTTTCCAACCCAATACCTGACGTGCAAGGATCTCGTCCTATACCAATCAAAATCTATAAAAAAGCAAAAAACATACATTGCGTAAGGAGTAAAAAATCTAAATATTGCTCCAACATTCTTATAATTTGGATTTTCTCACGATCCAAAAATTATTGAAAAGGGGGCTTTGAATTAGAATTTTATCATCTATCATTAGCAAAGCACTGTATTGACGAAGATGCAGAGGGAAATTGATGAAGTACTATATTGACGAAGAAAAGCGATTTCCACACGATTAAGAATCAGATTTACCTCAGCACATTACGTCACACACTTATGACGATCAAAGAAATCGGATAATGACAAAAGTTAAACAGAAACCTTAAACCAGACGTGAACAAAAAATTACTTGCATTCTTCCTTTCAGGTATAGATACCTGCTTATCGTAACTTATTATCTAGCATTTATACATTGAGAAAAATTTGATAAAAAGTTGAACAATTGGATCAAAAGTACTCAAAATGTTACATTTCCATTATTCTGTGTTATTTTAAAATTTACTTGATTAGGACATTGAAACAGCCAGCAGTTATATTAAAATTTAGTCTTTATGATGACACGTCAAGACCTATTTCTAATTTCGCTCATCACTCACGCAAATCATCTGAAACGTCAAAAACTCTCGATCAACGCCTAACTTCGCTTAACTCCGTTATTCAGAAAAACTATATAGCTGCCCTGCCCTACAGCTTTTTAAACTTCAGGTCTAATTCTAAACACAAGAACATTCCATAAAAATCGTAAATCATGAGGTATCCTAATTACAATGAAGGAACAACTACAACTGTAAATAAAATATGGGTTTTGATATCAGTATTGTAAATAGGGGCGGACACTGGGTCAAATATTGGGGGGGCAAGCCTATTGTTTTAATACGATGACGTCACATTTCCCATTGTTTTGGGAACAAAAGACCATTGTCCTCTAAAGTATTGGAGGGGCGGTCGCCCTCGCCCCCCCCCCCACAGGTGTCCGCCGCTGATTGTAAAGGTCAGCAACTTGAAGGATAAGGACCTCCACCCGCGTCTAGAGAAAGAGAGCATCTCCAAGATGAAAAACTCAAACTTGCGTTAATACAGAAACAGCCCCAAAACTCGAATCACGCTGTGGCTACCGAATTGTTCACCATGGTAAAAAAGAAATTGTTGGGCCTCAGTTTAATAATTAACTACAGTCAACATGTTGTCAATCCAACTATGTCAAAACTCCTTTGATATCCTACAGTTTAAACGCTCTTTTGGAGAATTAACAGATCCCGCTAATCGTAAAGTCACAGCAACCTTTATTCCAGAAAACAATGCTGGTTCAAGATATGGGGATATTCAGAAGTTGGTGGGTTGTAGGGAAAACCTAAGGGATAAATAAAAGAAGTGGATAGTTTTCTTGAAATTTTAGGGATTTATATTTTTTTGTAGCGAAATAATTAAATTTCTTGCTTTTTATAGCTTTGAACATCAATCACCATCGCAAATGCAAAAAGAAGTTATGAAAAAAATATTAAGCGAAAGAACCCGAAGCTGTAACATATTTGTTTATACATATATCGTCAACGATTATTTTAACCAGAAACTGATGTAAACAAAAAATTCTAAAAAAACAATTACATACAATAAAAGTAAATCGTAACTCGTCATAATAACAACGGATCGCAACAAGAGAAGGTTTTACGATGACACATCTGAGCATTCGAGACAAAAACGCGAGATTGCTAAAACCAAACGGACTTTTAAGCATCATTTATCTGTTATGTGGTAGAACAAATACCGCAGAATAACTAGTCACGTGGAAATTTGGAGTTTATGTATGTGAGTGATGTCACTGTAAAATGTAGAGTTTGGGGGTATGATGAAAACCGTGGCAATTGCTGTTCCAGTGTTAACTCTGAATTAGACAATCGATTCTCTAAAGCATTGCTGGTAACAGGAGACAGGCTCCCGGCATAAATTGAAAAAATTTAGGTATTGGAACATTCGACTAACACTTACCGTATTGAATTCCTCCGATCGTACTTCTCCAGTTTCGATATGTTTGTAGGTAACTTTGTATCGTGGTGGAGTTCCATCTTCTAATTTCTCGATCTAAAAGTACAAAAACCGCAAAGTTCCTGAAAACTTACTATAGCAAAATTAGAACAGTGGAAAGATGATCAAATTTGGTGAGAAACATGCAACTAATAGCTATCCGGTTCTACACACGAGATTGTGTCGGCTCTGCCTTCCGGGTATCGAAAGTTATAGGGTAAATATAGAAACCGGCAACCTCATAATTTTGATGAATCAATTTCTAACAGTTCAACAATAAATATGAATTTTACACTTAATATGAATTTATAAATAGGACGTTTTACACTGAGTAGTCCTGCTTTTTGAAGCTGCGGTTATTCAAAAGCTCTTCCCGTTGGTTAAATACCCATTAAAATTTTATTTTACTTTCAAATGACTAAAATTATTTTGTCACAACAAACATTCGTGTAGCTAATCCAACCACATGAAAACGACAGTTCCGTAAAAAAGTACTGAAAATACAATATGCAATCAAATAGACTTCGATCTAAAATATTCAAATGACAGGTTGGAAAAAACCGGTTCCCTGCCTACTGTATAAGGAGTAAGGAAATCTAGCATATTCCCCGACCATGCTGAAAAGTACACCATTCTCACTTTAAGAAGCTTTATTGTGTCGATGAAGGCGTTGCTTGACTTTTTCAGCATTCTGTTACCAATTTGAGCGACTTTAAAACATCGTTCAAACCTGCTTTACCATGGTGGTTGGTGATTTGTTGTTTTTTGGTGATTAAAGGCTGAATTCAACTTGATATTTTTTGTGCGCGCGGGCGTAGCGCCTAAATCTGAGCATGCGTAGTTGAAATCAAGTGGTCTCGATTTTGCGTCCGCTGTGAGCGCCAGAAAGTGATAGGGTCTCAACTTTTTTGTGAACTCGGCCACTTGACAGCAGCACTTAGCTACGCATGCTCAGATTTGGGTGCTACCCCCGCGCGCACAAAAAATGTCAAATGGAAATGGGCCTTAAAGATGAGCTAGAAGAATGGCATTTACCCCCACAATGGAGAAATCACAATTTACAAAGCCTTAATCTGATAGAAAATGAGACTCTCAACAATATGATACGAAAGTGTTCGTTCTCTTTAGGGTTGCACTATCATAACTGCAACTTGTTTGTTTCAACCTAATAATTTAAGTCTGCTTTATAAATTTGTTTTCAGCTATTTATTTTTCATATTTCAGACTAATAATACTTATTTGTAGTCATCATTAAACTTTTGCTATACTTACATTTGTTGGCAAAAATTGTCGAAGAAATTTTACACCATGCTTTTCCATATAATTTCCAACTTTGTTTGCCATATCCTAAAAAATAAGAAACTATCACTTACATAAGCATTTTTATAAAAAAACCCTTGCTCAGCTTTGGCAATTTTATCGTCCCACAAATAGTCTGGAAATTCCATATTAATTTAATAAATACCTAATTTATAACGTTTTTACAATGGAAATTTGGTTAACATAATATTCCGGTTAACATATATGATATTTAAGTATCCGGCCAAGGTCTCCGGCCTATGATATTTAAGTATCCGGCTAGGTATCCATCCATTGGTCTCAGAAAATATTCTGGGTCCCAGAAAAAAAGGTTAAAGCTAGAAATTACAAGAAAAGGTACTAAAACTCTAGAACGAAAGAATCTGCAAAACGTTTGCATTCCAGGGTGTAAAAATTTTTAATAACGTCCCCAGCAAACTACAAAGTGAAACATCTATACTGAAGTTCAAGAGTTGCTGCAAGGATATCGACTTTGATTTTTTAACTTTTTCTCTAGATTTAATTATTGTAAAAACTTTTTTAATTATTGTAAAAACTTTTTTAATTATTGTAAAAACTTTTTTAAACTATATTGTTGTAACATTTATATCGTAGGTACATTAGTTTCACAGGTCCTTGATTGATAGCAGCAAACTCATTTTTGCTGAACAAGTTTACCTGTATAAATATGGTCTTATTATTATTATTATTATTATTAAAATCAAAAGAGCACGAGTAAACAAATCAATCAGTATCGATCAGTCATTAGATCAAAAATGTAGAAATACCCATTTAATTGAAGCTAGAAGTTAATGCCTACACGATGCAAAAAACTCTGTAATTGAACACTTTCAAATCAATTACAAAAATATTGCAACGTCACCTAAGGGTTCTAGATGCGGTCAAAATTCCATACCAATAATTTGAACTCTCTAAGATTACCTTACAAATGCTATCAATTTGTACCTGAAAAAATTGATTCAAGGGTTCTTGGACTCTAGGGGAAGACATCTTTTAACCCCCTATCAAAATAAACAAATGAACACACCTGGTCAAAACCACGCAACAGAATTGACCTGACCATGACAGAGACATCCAGGCCGATTCCCTTGAGAAATCCTGCGCACTCCAAAGCAACGTAAGATGCGCCAACGACTAACGTCTTACCAGGGCAATAGGGCAACGAGAAAACATCGTCACTACAAGAAAGCAATTAGAAATCAAGTTGTTTCAACTAAGATTTGCCTAGAACCAAGCATCGCCTCAAATGGGGTTCTTTGGGAGCCCAATTTTCTTGAGAAAGGGATATTTAGAAACATTTATATAGAGTTTCAAATTTCATGTCAAAATGTTAACATGGCATACTCAAGTATATTTTTCCCACATTTATAAGGTATGGACCATCAGATAATGTCCCTAAGATAAGCGATAATAAATACCAAAGTACGGATCGAAAGTAACTAAGAAAAAGAAGGGCGTGTTGATTTGTTCTTTGCTTTTAAATTTATAGGATTTTTTGCACAATGCTTTTAAAAAAGCTCGAATTGTGGAACAGGGAACTACCAAGTTGCTAAAATGGCTTTTATTTCTAATTTTCTCCCCGACAACGTCAATGCCTTGTCTATACAACAACGATATTGGTTAAAATAAAGTTTTTCTCCAAAGAACATTCTATGGTCGAAGGTCATTCTTTTTTAATAAAGCTATGACACAAAGCAGTAGTTTTATTTCATTTTATATCAAATTCTTTAGGGAGGGTGGCCCTTCAGCGGCGAAGCTGATTTTCAAGGGGTCTACATTACATACTCAAATACAATTTTTAAAAAAAAAGCTTTTTCATTTACAATAAAAACAGTGTTTATAATAGAACGTAAAATAAAGTAGAATACTTAGCTTGATATTACAAAACAAGAACAAAAAAAAACAAAAAGTAAAATTCCTTAAATAAGATTTTCAAAGATCCTTAGTAGAGCCATATTTAGCAACGTATGCCATTGAAGCATCAAAAATGGTGCCCGCGTTGTTTAATATATTTTTTCTTTTCAAACTTCAATTTCTTTCACAAAGTTTTCTCTCCGAATGAATTTCTATAAAAATATTTTAACATCCAGACAAAGTCTTTAAATAAAGTCACATTTTGATACAAACCTTGTTATCCCATAGTCCTTTGCACACTTGACATCTGGATATCGAGGTCTTTCGCCTATGATGATAGCAAAAAAGCATAAAATTGACTATAAAATATATCAATTTAAGATCTTCAAAAGCTGTTTGATCCGAGCCTTGACAATTTAACAAGTTTCGCGGGCTATAATTTCACTACCTGGTGACCTTAATAAAACATAATAGCTACCCTTGTGCAATATCAATAAAGATAAAAACATACAATTTACTACAAAACAAGAAAAGGAAGATTTGGCAAAAATACGTAAGAAACATTATACAAAGATTATTTAAAAAATATCTGAAAAATTTCTTAAAAAACATTTAGAAAAATGTCTGAGAAATATTTTACAATAAAATTTAAGAAATATCTTATGAACAAATTTTGGAAATATATTTAAAAAATAAAAGAAATATAAATGTATCCAAGAAATACATTACAAAAAATTGAGAAACACTTTATAATGTATAACAAATATTAAATACAAAAAATATATGACTATTTTACAAAAATGTTTAAAAATATTTTACTTAGATGTTTAGGAAATGGTTTACTAGAAAATTTAGGAAATATCTTTCTAAAATATTTGGGAACTATTAAGGAAGAATGTTACAAAAATATTTTGCTAATATTCTACAAAAATATTTTGCTAATATTCTACAAAAATATTTTGCTAATATTCTACACAAATATTTTGCTAATATTCTGCAAAAATATTTTGCTAATATTCTACAAAAATATTTTGCTAATATTCTACAAAAATATTTTGCTAATATTCTACAAAAATATTTTGCTAATATTCTACAAAAATATTTTGCTAATATTCTACAAAAATATTTTGCTAATATTCTACAAAAATATTTTGCTAATATTCTACAAGAATATTTTGCTAATATTCTACAAAAATATTTTCGTTCTATTTTACAAAAATATTTTAAGAAATGTTTAACGAATAATTAACAAAAACATCTAAGAAATACATATGAAAACATTTAAGAGTAATATTTACAAAAATATTTGTGAAATATTTCCACTTATAGTTATAAAAAATTTGCAAAAAGTCATAACTATTTGAAGAAAATTTTTTTGAAATGTTAAAAAAGTAATCTGGAAATATTTACACCAAACTTTTAAAAATATGTACAAAACATACTTTAGAAAAGCAATAAATTATTTCCAAAATAAATGGAAAAAATTATAGAAACCTATAGAAAACATGCTAGAAATATTTGTAAAAAAAGATTTCGGAAATATTGTTAAGAAAATATTTGGGAAATATTGTAACATTACCCTCTGGCTTTTAAGAATCACATAACAAATGATTGTGGCATTAGCTCAAAAATTTTCAATAATTATTGATACTAAGAAAGAATAATCATCCTCCTACGAATTATTTGTCGAATATTTAATGGAAAAACTAGACAGATTTAAATGAGATACATTAAAAACATGGCTGGTTTTTCTACAGAAAGAGAACCTCTTTTAAGAAATTGTCTAAATACAACCTATTCGATTGGCATTCGTCTTTTTATTGTACTTTAACATTGTATTGATTTTCCGGTTTGATGTATCAATGTACTGCAATATAGTCTTACAACCTTGAATTTTTTTCAATTTCTTTGCAACGTTAGCCTTAAGAAATCATAGGTGATGGAAAATTAACACAAATGAAACTGAACTGGAACTAGACCGATCATGGTCATAGGTTGAAACATTATTTCCAACCTGTCGTTAAGGATGTTCAAAAAAGAAGCGAAAAAAGGAGTAAGTGGACAGTTCCGAATATTTCAAAGAATCATGGTAAGAAACATTGACGCAAAGAGAAGTTGTTTTAAAATCAAATGGAAGAAGATGTTTCAAAATCGAATGAAAATAAGTTAACATAAAGGCCAATTAAGCAAAGTTTATTGAAAATATTTTTTGTATAAACAGTCGATAATAAGAGTAAAAAATACTGAGACACACCTGTAGCAATTACAATTTTATTAGCAGTTGCAATCTGTTCCTTGCCTTTCTTGTCAACCATCTAAAAAGTATTTGAAGTAAAAGTCTTAAGCATACTTCGGCTCAAAATCCACTGAAAATTTTATAAAATTAGTGATACTAAATTTGATAAGAAACAGTTATAGATTGGATCAATAAACAAAAAACTCATTTTTACAAGACAGGTCAAATAAATTAGCTCCTTGCATTTCTTGTCAACCATCGAAAAAGTATTTGAACAAAAAGTCTTAAGCAATCTTCGGCTCAAAATCCACTGAGAATTTTATAAAATTAGTGATACCAAATTTGATAAGAAACAGTTATAGATTGGATCAATAAACAAAAACTCATTTTTACAAGACAAGTCAAATCATATTTGCCTTTGCCTTTCTTGTCAACCTTCTTAAAATTATTTGAAGAAAAATTCTTCAGCAATCTTCAGCTCAAAATCCACTGAGAATTTTATAAAATCTGTGATACTAAATTTGATAAGAACAGTTGTAGATTGGATTAATAAACAAAAAACTCATTTTTACAAGACAGATCAAATCAATTGGCTCCTTGCATTTCTTGTCAACCATCGAAAAAGTATTTGAAGAAAAAGTCTTAAGCAATCTTCGGCTCAAAATCCACTGAGAATTTTATAAAATTAGTGATACCAAATTTGATAAGAAACAGTTATAGATTGGATCAATAAACAAAAACTCATTTTTACAAGACAAGTCAAATCATATTTGCCTTTGCCTTTCTTGTCAACCTTCTTAAAAGTATTGGAAGAAAAATTCTTCAGCAATCTTCAGTTCAAAATCCACTGAGAATTTTATAAAATTTGTGATACTAAATTTGATAAGAAACAGTTATAGATTGGATTTATAAACAAAAAACTCATTTTTACAAGACAGATCAAATCAATTGGCTCCTTGCATTTCTTCTCAACCATCTTGGAAAAGTCTTAAAAGTAATTTTGGCTTAATATCCACTGAACCTTATCCCGAGAGAAACTTAGAACAATATAAAGGCGACATAGCTTAAGGCCCATTTCCACTTCGTTCGGATTTCGGATTTCGCATCCTATCTCCGATTTCCGAACGACGAACTTTTTCCAATTTCAATGCACACTTCCACAACGCTCGGACGAATCTTTTGTAAAGGAGTCAAAAAATTGACAATTTTGGCGCGCTTTTCAATTGTTGTTTATCTAAATCGAAAATGGCTGCTTTTAATCGACGAAGATTGTTGATTTTGATGCTGATGAGAAGAAAACAGCTGAGAAGAAAAGACAAATACCGTAAGAGATTTTGGGTACGACCAATCCTTCAACAGAGGAAACAACAAGGAGAGTATTTCAACTTGGTGAGAGAAATGCAATTGGCAGTTCAAGAGAGCTTTTTTAAATATTTCCGTATGTCTCCACACTTCTTTGAGAATTTGCTGCGTTTGGTTGCTCCTTTGATCTTGAAGTCTGATCAAAAGAGCGAACCTTTTAGCCCTGCTGAATAACTTGCAGTTACCCAATGGTATTTAGCTACGGGAGATTCCCATCAAACAATTGCTTTCATTGGACTTCCCGTGTTCCAAACGATTTCATTTTCGTGCACTTGCTCAATTAACGCACCAACTAAATCGCTATTCCAATTAGTTTTTGAAGACGCCATCTTTGAATCTGTGTGCACAGAAGTGATGTTCGTCGAGAAGTGCAGTGTTCTGATTGGCTAGCAATATCCGGGACTTTTCTGTTCGCAATGCGAATTCGGATGAAAATCAAAACTTCCGAACGCGTCAATTCGGATGCGAACGAAATCCTACAAGTTTGATATGATACCCTTTATGCTGTATTATTTTGAAAATATCTTGGCTCGTATATACAGCACACATGCTCAGGCTCCGGGATTTTCAATTTATCTCTCTTGTCAGGTATCTCATCTTCTTACTAATCTTCTAAAACTATTACCGCCTATATACACATAAATAAACAAAAAATATAACAATAAATAAAAAAAGAAATAAATAAATAAATGAAAAAATAAATAAATAAATAAATCGAATTTTTATACAGGATAATCTATCAGTGCAAAATTTTACTGTTATCAATAGAGTCCTGTTCCTAAAGTTAAACAAAACGTAAAATCTTACAAAACAATAACAATAAAGTTATAAAGATAATTGAAACCAGTTAAAAGTTTATGCCTATATACAGTAAATTGACATGAGTACGAAGCTCTTGGCGCCCATTCACAGACAGTCACAGTGTCTTAGAATATGAAGACATAACTTGGCATTTTTCATCACTTTATTTTGCCAGGCACAATAAGGCCAAAAATTCCACACTTTAAGCATGTTTAGTAAGCTTCGACATTTACTCAAACTATCAATTGAAACAAGACATGATTTTCAAACGATGAGCGGCCGATAGGAATTTTTAAATACTTTATTGACAACAACAGCAAGAATCGCCATTTCAATTTAGTAGGCAGACATTCATATTATGTCCACTCTATTCTCGAAGAACAAAATAATACCCGAAATTTATCACAACTCCCTAAAAAGTTTGAAGTTTATTTTTCTATATTCATGGGATTTTAGAGTATACGGGATCAATCCAGCTGTTGCTTTTATTGCATGGTGCTGGCACCCTGACGGAAAAGATCCAGATGTGCCAGTTTGAAGGTGTTTGGTGCGTTGGCGAATGTTGAAGAAACTTGAAGTGGCTATTCTGAGCTTTTAATTAAGCACAAAAATTTAAATGATTTATGCCAAAAAAGGAATTTTTCATAAAAGGTGGGATAAATCCAGTATAATAACTTTCTTTGGCCCACACATTTCCAACATAGACAAAACCAGATACAATAAGATACAGGGCCAAGCTGAAGTACAGCAAAATCGCCTAACAGCAGGACTAATTCGAAGTGAAAAGAAAGCTAAGATATTACGGACTACCTTGACAGTGTGATTGTCAACCAATTCAGCGTAAGCATTCAAATACTTGACAGATTTTTCTCTCAACTGAACCCTGTAGTTCCAATTCAGAGAGCCAATGTGATTCTACAAAAGAAAATTTTCCTTCATTAACAAGGAAAAACAAAATGAAAAATCATTTATTGACATTAGAGACAAAATATATAAATACAAAAACAAAAAAAACAGGCAATTGTCAGACGACTGAATAAAAATGAGGTGTTCGTTACCAAACAAGAGTCAAAGATACATAGTCCTTGGAGCACCCTGCCTTATAGCTTAAAGGAGCACCCTGCCTTATAACTTAAAGGAGCACTCTGCCTTATAACTTAAAGAAGCGCCCCGCCTTATAACTTAAAGAAGCACCCTGCCTTATAACTTGAAGAAGCACCCTGCCTTAGAGCTTGAAGGAGCACCCTGCCTTATAACTTAAAGAAGCACCCTGCCTTATAGCTTAAAGGAGCACCCTGCCTTAGAGCTTGAAGGAGCACCCTGCCTTATAACTTAAAGAAGCACTCTGCCTTATAACTTAAAGAAGCACCCTGCCTTAGAGCTTGAAGGAGCACCCTGCCTTATAACTTAAAGAAGCACTCTGCCTTATAACTTAAAGAAGCACCCTGCCTTAGAGCTTGAAGGAGCACCCTGCCTTATTAACTTTAAAGGAGCACCCTCGCCTTATAGACTTAAAGGGCACTGCACTTGACCCGCCTTATAACTTAAAGAAGCACCCTGCCTTATAACTTGAAGAAGCACCTGCCTATAACTTGAAGAAGCACCCTGCCTTATAACTTGAAAGAAGCACACCTGCCTTAGAGCTTGAAGGAGCACCCTGCCTTATAAAACTTAAAGAAGCACTCTGCCTTATAACTTAAAGAAGCACCTGCCTTATAACTTGAAGAAAGCACCCTGCCTTAGAGCTTGAAGGAGCACCCTGCCTTATAACTTAAAGGAGCACCCTGCCTTATAGCTTAAAGGAGCACCTGCTTATAACTTAAGAAGCACTCTGCCTTATAACTTAAAGAAGCACTCTGCCTTATAACTTAAAGAAGCACCCTGCCTTAGAGCTTGAAGAGCACCCTGCCTTATAACTTAAAGAAGCACTGCCTTATAACTTAAAGAAGCACCTGCTTAACTTGAAGAACACCCTGCCTTAGAGCTTGAAGGAGCACCCTGCCTTATAACTTAAAGGAAGCACCCTGCGCTTATAGCTTAAAAGAGCACTGCCTTATAACTTAAAGAAGCACTCTGCCTTATAACTTAAAGAAGCACCCGCCTTATAACTTAAAGAAGCACCCTGCCTTAGACTTGAAGGAGCACTCTGCCTTATAACTTAAAGAAGCACCCTGCCTATAACTAAAGAAGCGCCCCGCCTATAACTTAAAGAAGCACTCCTATAACTTAAAGAGCACCCTGCCTTAGAGCTTAAAGGAGCACTCTCCTTAATAACTTAAAGACACCCTGCCTTATACTTAAAGAAGCACTCTGCCTTATAACTTAAAGAAGCACCCTGCCTTAGAGCTTAAAGAGCACTCTGCCTTATAACTTAAAGAAGCACCCTGCCTTAGAGCTTAAAGAAGCACCCTGCCTTATAACTGAAGAAGCACCTGCCTATAACTTAAAGAAGCACCCTGCCTTATAACTTAAAGAGCACCTTATAGCTAAAAAGCACCTTCCTTATAACTTGAAGAAGCACCCTGCCTTATAACTTGAAGCACCCTGCCTATAGACTTGAAGGAGCACCCTGCCTTATAACTTAAAGAAGCACTCGCCTTATAACTTAAAGAAGCACCCTGCTTATACTTGAAGAAGCACCCTGCCTTAGAGCTTGAAGGACACCCTGCCTTATAACTTAAAGGAGCACCCTGCCTTTATAGCTTAAAGGAGCACCCCTGCCTTATAACTAAAGAAGCACTCTGCCTTATAACTTAAAGAAGCACTCTGCCTTATAACTTAAAGAACACCCTGCCTTAGAGCTTGAAGAGCACCCTGCCTCTATAACTTAAAGAAGCACTCTGCCTTATAACTTAAAGAGCACCCGCCTTATAATTAAGAAGCACCCTGCCTTAAGCTGAAGGACACCCTGCTATAACTTAAAGGAGCACCCTGCCTTATAGCTTAAAGGAGCACTCTGCCTTATAACTTAAAGAAGCACCCTCCTTATAACTTAAAGAAGCACCCTGCCTTAGAGCTTGAAGGAGCACTCTGCCTTATAACTTAAAGGAGCACCCTGCCTTATAACTTAAAGAAGCGCCCCGCCTTATAACTTAAAGAAGCACCTCTGCCTTATAACTTAAAGAAGCACCCTGCCTTAGAGCTTAAAGGAGCACTCTGCCTTATAACTTAAAGAAGCACCCTGCCTTATAAACTTAAAGAAGCACTCGCCTTATAACTTAAAGAAGCACCCTGCCTTAGAGCTTAAAGAGCACTCTGCCCTTATAACTTAAAGAAGCACCCTGCCTTAGGCTAAAAAGAGCACCCTGCCTTATAGCTTAAAGGAGCACTCTTCCTTATAACTTAAAGAAGCACTCTGCCTTATAACTTAAAGAAGCACCCTGCCTTAGAGCTTAAAGGAGCACTCTGCCTTATAACTTAAAGAACACCCTGCCTATAACTTAAAGGAGCACCCTGCCTTATAGCTTAAAGGAGCACTCTGCCTTATAACTTAAAGAAGCACTCTGCCTTATAGCTTAAAGGAAGCACCCTGCCTATATAACTTAAAGAAGCACCCTGCTTAGAGCTTGAAGGAGCACTCTGCCTTATAACTTAAAGAAGCACCCTGCCTTATAGACTTAAAGAGCACCCTGCCTTATAACTATAAAGCACCCTGCCTGTTAACTTAAAGAAGGCGCCCCGCCTTTATAACTTAAAGAAGCACCCTGCCTTATAACTTAAAGGAGCACCCTGCCTTATAGCTTAAAGGAGCACTCTGCCTTATAACTTAAAGAAGCACTCTGCCTTATAGCTTAAAGAAGCACCCTGCCTTATAACTTAAAGAAGCACCCTGCCTTAGAGCTTGAAGGAGCACTCTGCCTTATAACTTAAAGAAGCACCCTGCCTTATAGCTTAAAGGAGCACCCTGCCTTATAACTTAAAGGAGCACCCTGCCTTAGAGCTTGAAGGAGCACCCTGCCTTATAACTTAAAGAAGCACCCTGCCTTATAGCTTAAAGGAGCACCCTGCCTTATAGCTTAAAGGAGCACCCTGCCTTATAGCTTAAAGGAGCACCCTGCCTTATAACTTAAAGAAGCACCCTGCCTTATAGCTTAAAGGAGCACCCTGCCTTATAGCTTAAAGGAGCACCCTGCCTTATAGCTTAAAGGAGCACTCTGCCTTATAGCTTAAAGGAGCACCCTGCCTTATAGCTTAAAGGAGCACCCTGCCTTATAGCTTAAAGGAGCACCCTGCCTTATAACTTAAAGAAGCACCCTGCCTTATAGCTTAAAGGAGCACCCTGCCTTATAGCTTAAAGGAGCACCCTGCCTTATAGCTTAAAGGAGCACCCTGCCTTATAGCTTAAAGGAGCACCCTGCCTTATAACTTAAAGGAGCACCCTGCCTTAGAGCTTGAAGGAGCACCCTGCCTTATAACTTAAAGAAGCACCCTGCCTTATAACTTAAAGGAGCAATTTATGTGTACAGATAAAAACGAGTGAGGAAGATGGCCCGTTTGATTTAACACCTTGTTTCAAGCGATCGATGACCAAAACCCTTCGTATCGTTGAAAACTTTAAATGAGAAACGAGCATGGCCTGTTTTTACAAATCTGGATTTTGTCGTCATTAAGGTAGGCTCAAAAACTGGAAAGGCCACCTTGTATGGCCAATGATTCGAAACTCTCCCTACTATGTTTTAAGGTGACCCGCTTACCTATTAACGACACTGTACTATGACAGCAACTGCTACCAAATTGCTTTTAAGAAACTTAATTTTCCACAAGAGCGCATTAGCCACATGGTTATCTGAAAATCTTAGCAAAGTCTCTTTTTTAAGATAAAAGATCATCAGCTTCCTATGGAGAGTAAAATATCCTCCGGCTGTTCGTATTGAAAACGAGCAGATCCCGTGCGTAGGATTATACAAACAAGTCATTTGGATACATCACTTTAGAGTTGTTTTTAAACACATATTGACCAAGGCGTGTAGCTTATGCATTCGTTGACGTTATGAATTCGACTTGAGACATGTTTGTTTTAAAAAAGCTTAGAAACTATCAATATTTCCATGTTTCCTTCAGCGGTAAGTTTTAAAAAATTTGGAGATTTTTGGCAAATAGCTGATTAGTGTGAAAACTCGGAATAGTGTTCCTGAGTGATGACGTCATAAAATTGTTCACCTTGAAATACTTTTAAATGTTGAATTGAATTTTTTAAATTGAATTGAATTTAATTTATTACGAATTGGCTGAGGTATGGCCTCGTGAGCCCATGCTCTTTCCCCATTGAATCATTGTTCGTTAAACGTCAAGAACTTTTGAAGTTGATTTGTTTAATATCGTGCGAGATTCGTGAAACAACGTACACAATTTCATTACGAATACATTTTGTTCTAAATTTATACGTCTGAAACTTTGGTGTTTAATGTAATTTGGTCTCTTTTCTAAACCTTATGAGCAAAATAACAATAATCTGTTTGCTAACTTCCAGTACGTGAATATTTAGCAAACTAGCAGTTTGCCAAAACTCACCCGATTTCTGACATATTAAACGATTTGCAATTTTAGAGATAATTTAAGGTGTTTTTTATACTTATTCAAGGGAATAAAAGTGAAGAGCATCAAAAATACCTTGTTCCTACTGTCACATTTAAGAATACTTTTGCAAATAACATTTTAACGAACTCACCTGTACCGCTTCAGTCATTTTAGCCCAGCTGTGGTTCACTAAAAAGAAAATATTCAGTAAAAACGAATGATCACCATGGACAATCATCAGGAGGAGCATTGGAGGATTACCGACACAGGTAGGGCTATAGAGATCAGATATTCCTACCCCTGATTTTGCATTCGCAGGAATAATTAGAAAGCGTAAAATTGGTGATACATTCCTCCAGAGAAACAAAAGGCAGCGCTAAGAAAAATTCTAAATGCTACTCTACCGAAATCATTTTGTCTGTGCCATAATACTTATATATCTAAATATTTACTTTAGATAATTGATAATCGAGAGCACTTGAAGAAATGTAGAAAGGATATTTTAACGGAATTTTTCTAGGACGGGTTTTCTTTCTATGAAAAAGAACTATACAAGCTGATTGTTTGGTAAAGGTAAGGGATGGTAAATAGGTCATTTGCTTTCGGCGTGATAGCTGTAGTTTCATGTAATATCGGCATCCGTTTTTGGCAATATTGCGATTGGCGGAAGCTGTTTTGTAAATCAGAATATAGTGAGTTCATGTGATCAGTGTCAGACCCACCAACAGTATTGTAGCGGGAAAATAATGACTCGGCGTGTTTTGGTCTACCCTCTCCTTTATCATGACTCAATGCCTTTAAATTCAGTTCAAATGTGTTCATTTTCTCGGCAAAAGCATTGCAGATAGACATAATGATACCATGAAACGCATAGCAGACATAAATAAGGAAGAAAGTTTTATGACTTTCTTTGCGACTTTTTTCACCAACAACGTCAGAATATAATAAGAAATAATATATGGACTCACTGCATCTTGGGCCCAAAGATGGTAAGGAATGCATCACGGAGAGATTAAAGGTAGGAGGAGTTGGGAAGGGGCTCTCAGTAGATATTATCAAAAGCATGTTCCTTCGGTATTTTCAATTACAGTTTAATTTTCTTTTGTGTAGCCAGATTGTGTAAGACTTTTTTACCTTGTTCTGAAAACTCCCAGCCAAATTTTCGAGCATCTTTGACAGCTTCACCTAAAAGCAAGAGAAATAGGATTGAAAGACGGAATATTTTTTAATAGCAACAAAATCTAAAAAATGCGAAAAGACTATGCATAGCATTAAGTTACATACTAGAAGTGCACTCATTTATTCCAAAAAGGCAATAACTACGAGTCTATCATCTTTACCTATATAGGATAATTTTTAATCGACTTGCAGCTTTGTGGAGGGCCTGACGAACCATGCCTTGCCTTTAGCCAAATAGCATTCAATATGTATGACAAATTAACATCAATAAACCGGAACTTCCTAGCAAAAAGGCGCTGCAGTACTTATCTATAAAAAAGCAAAAATGTGCATAACGTAATATACACATATATATTAACATAAATTAACATAAATAAAAGATATCAAGCTACCTAACAAAGCAGCCTGGTGCATCAACTTCTTGGGGATGCAGCCAACATTCACACAAGTTCCTCCAAGCCCTAGGTAAAGTAACAATTAATGAAAACAATTTTCTATTGTCAAAATTACAGATAAAAATTGGATGAAACCATGTTGCAGTGAAACAAATTTCCTGATTCGCCTAAAATAAGAATGTGAACCGATTGAGATACAGATTATGGGTGTAGAGGAGTTGACAGTAATCAAAAGAAACGAAAAAGATTATATTGGTGGGTGGGTCGAGATTAGGCAAAGTTAGTGTTCTTTAAGGAATGTGTGAATGGAACAGATCAAAGGCGCAACAAGGGCGATGAAAATTGAACATGCAACAGAATATTCATGGCTGAAAATAGAATTCAACGGTTAAGGTAGAAAAAAGAAGTGACGGTAAATGCAATGCTGAAGGGAATTTGGAAAGGTGAGAAAATTAAGACCTACAATAAATCATGATTACAGGAATAAGACTGAGGAAATCGCAGAGGATCTTTGTTGTTACAGCATATTAGGATACGTCATCTACAGGGTTGGCAAAACTGTGCGAAGCTACTTCCTTGGAAGCTTAGTCATCTAAAGGGAAATGCGAATAGAGTGAGGGAAAACAAGAAGAAAGAAAGGGGGAGGGGGAGAAAATGACGAGTACTTTAAAGGACTGCAAGAAACTCTTTAGTTATGATCGTTAGTTAAGATTGCTTGGAATTGGCCGCTCTCAACTCTCCTAATAATTAGGGGGTTTGAGTATGAAAAACCTACACAGCCGAAAAGTTAGAAACTATTCAATTTACATAATTCATAAATATGAGCTCAAGGCAACAAGTAAATGATAACATTATCACATGTTGATATTGGTGCTCGTGTGATTGATCTTAAAAACGCTACATGTCACTAAGATAAAATGCAGTCCTTCTCTCTCACAAAATAACTACCATGGTTTAATTTCTTTCGCATTCCAGATCTTGACAAGCTGATGTACACTGCCTGTCTACAACTTTCGCCTTACAAAGGCTGCAGTAATTGGTGAACGATAAAAAATGTTAGGATTGATTATGAATGAAAAGCACGATTGGAAGACGTCAGAGCAGAAAGAGCAGACTAACTTGGCAAAAATGAGATCATCTCAGATGACGTTAATGGTATTATATATGATAAGTGTATGTCCTTCCTTGCATAGATTGAATGCTAGCATCTGCAGGATAATCATTAGGCCAAAGTTAAAGTATGGTGCAGTAACCTGGAAGCTTAGAAGCAATAAAAGTTAGCTCTCAGACGATCTATGAAGTGAATGAGAGGCAAAAGCATTAGTCAGGAACTTGTACAGAGGGCAAAAGAGATATGATAAGGTTTGGAGAACATCTAAGGATGCCCAATAAGAAGTGGACAGACAATTTCCAAGCAGAAAATAGAGAAGTTGGGGTGAGAAATAAGGACTAAGCCACTAAATAAAAGAGTGAATATCAAAATAAACAGAGTTAAGCTTTATGGTACATAAAAACATATAAAACAGTCAAATATGTAAACATATTATGGTTAATAATATCTAAGAAACAAATTAATGATCTACAATTCATAGTTCAGTTTGTAAAGGTTCAGCTTGGTTTAGGAGATTTCAGTTCTGAAATGAATTCAAAGCTGTAAGTATTAGGAAGAGGCATCAAACTTTTCAATGCTTAACAGATCCATAAAAAGACCTTAATCAGGCATGTATAAGTCAGCTTCCACTGTAAATATACACATGAAAGGATAAAGATCCTGTCTACAAACAACCATCAACATGCTGTGTATAAACATCAGATGCATACCCCAAGAGGTTCCTTTAGGTGTTGGCTTCACAAAATCACAAACTGCAACTTTTGCTCCTAAGGCAGCAGCTTCCTGTAAAATTAGAAACGAACTGGCTATCAATTCGCAACTTTTGACATAACTGCGACAAATGATATACCTAACTTATCTTTCCACAAAACAAGAATGCGTTTTCAGCGATATAATTCATTTGAAAAATACTATTCCACAACTTTCTAAAGGCCAATTTGAACACCAAAAGTGTGAGCAAGCAAGCATAAAAATCCATTGCTTAACTAGTGACCATAAAACTTCATGCTTTAACTGATGACCATTATATTAACTACTGATGATGATCATTATATTGTATATTTTAATACAATATATATAATTTGCCCAAAAAGCATTTTAAGCATAATACAATATAATTTGCCCAAAATTTGTTCAAAAACTAGCCAAAACTGGCTGCACAAGCAACTACTAGTGTATTAGGCATACCCACAGGATTCAGTGTACCATTGATTGCAGTTTTGTTATCAGTGTTAGTTCAAATATATTTTTGACAATTTTTTTTACTCATGGACACCGTCACTTTGCCGCTAGTTATAACATAAGTTTCTTTCAACTTTACCTCATTTCTAGCTTATTTTGTCCGGTATTTGTATCTATAATGTATTGTATATATTTTGTATTATTAGCTTAAAAATTTGTTTGTATTCTTAACAAATAAATTGTATGTTGAGAATTTAAAATGTGAAACTGAACTCAAACTGGACTGAGTTATTTAAGACAACTACATTGCCAATTAAAACCATAGCAATCAAGGTTTTTTTTTAAAATTAACTTGGTACACAGTAGCAAGTGTCATAAACCAAATACCTATGATTACATTAGAGTCAAACATGTGAAGATGTTATGGAAGTCATAGGTTATAATGTGTAAGTTCAGTTGAAATCAAATCAAAGATAAATTTACACATATATATCAAAATATTGAGAATAATAGCATACCTTGGAGCAAGCTAAACCTCCTGACCCTCCACCAATGACAAGCAAATCATACTCATATTTGTCATCTCTAACCATTGGCCATAGTTGTCCTTGATTATGCATTGTTACAACATTGTCAGCCCCACCAATATGAGTTCCTTTGGCAAAAACATTTGGTACTGTTTTTTGGCCAGTCTTCTCTGCAAGAGCATTCTGTATTGCATCCCCATTGGCTGAAAAAAAGAAAAATTGATCGATTATATATTATACAATTAAATATAGAAATGGAAATAATTAAAGGCTTCTGATTTTTTGGCTTCAACCTGGGGGATTTTTCTCAAAAATTAAAAAAAAAAGACAAGTGCTGATAGCAAAAAACATATATAACTGGAGAAAGTTAAAACAAATTCATACAATCAAAAGTTTGGAATCTTGTCATTATACAGCCCATCATTACCATTATACCAAATTGAAAACTTATAATGATAAAGATAAAAACGTTGTAAAACACCTGCTAAGTGATACACATATACAGAACAATTAATCAATGGCATATCATTGCTTATTAATAAATAATGACTCATGTGGCTCATTTTTTAAAGAACATCAGATGCTTTCCCAAGCACTTTGTGAATATTTCATGAGAACAGCCCCAGAAAGAGGCCGATATGTGCAAAATTAGCATATAAAATTGCAGGTTTCATGGTGAAGTATGGAGTGTGAACTGGAAAACTGAAATCTATCAATAAAAAAACATTTGAGGCTACCGCATGAATCATTAAATAGGAACTTTAATACAGTGTCAAAGTAGAAAAACTACTGGTAGCTTGCAAAAGAACAGCAATGATTTGAACAGCAGCACATACCAAAAAACTGACATTCTACCAGATCACGGAAATCATGATAGCAAAAAATACAAACTACAGATCATTCTTGCACCATTACAACAGGTAACAGGTTGTAAGGTAACTATGTCAGATTATCCTTGAAGGAACAATGTCACCATGCCCATTGGTCATTTTGTAAGTTGTCTTTTGAATTAAAGCAATATTGAGAAAATGTGATGCATTGTTTTGTTTTGGTAGAGCAATACCATCCTTTTGTAAGGCAATACAATTGTAGTCATCATTGTTTAATGCATGCAATCACATGAGCAGGCATCAGCACACGAAAAGAGCAAATAATGCTAGCGATTTGTCACACACATGAGTCATACATTTGATTGTTGTTTTGATCTTCCTAGGACTGTAGTTCTTCAAAAAATGTTGGAAGTTTTGCTTCAAGAAGTTGAGCATCAATGCCTTGTTTTTAGCTTTTTTGGGCAGATACAATGTTATACACAGGCCAAAAAATGTATGTTCTGCAAATAACATATGAAAAATTCAATTTCCAAATCAATACCTTGTGGCTTTGAGTCAATAAAAGCATTATAGAAGGCAATTTGTTTACTAAACTGTCTTTTGTCATCACCAATTAAAAAGTTTGCTCCCCAGAAAATATTTGTCTGTTAAGAAATTCTGCAAGCACTAGCTTTGCTAAACAAATATTTGTCAACCCTTTCTGAAAATTTTTAAAAAATCAATCTGTAAGTTTGCAACAATTCTTCAAGCTTGAATAAATTTTATAATTTGCTAAAGGTGTGAGATGGATCAAAAATTAAAGTTGTTATTGATTCATATTTGTCCTTGGCTCTGGTTTTCCCAGCATGCCAGTCTCTTCCCATCTGTTTGAGGCGATATAGTTATGACAATTCACAAGTTATGTACAAACTTTCCCATGTTTATATTCTAAGATTTCATTGCTTTTCCTATCCTTGCTTGTCTTACCATACAAAGCTGTACTTGTTTCAAAATTTTCAGTTTTAGGTTACTTAAGGTACAGCTGACACCTGCACCCCTTTTTTCAAGTCCTGTGTGTTGTGCCAGAAATTCTCATTGGAAAGAGTTGCCTAAATCTTTTATGCGAATGGCCTAGTCAGTTTGCTCTGTTAAAATTTCATTGGTAAAATAACAGAATCAGCTGAAAAATTTATGTTAAAAAACAATGATGCAGATCACTCTTAACTTAAATAAACTCCCCTAAAATAATTACTTGAAAGATGGGATGGCAATTATTGTGCTGCCTTGTGCTGCATTGAGCTACATTGTACTGTATTATGTATTTAAATGTATTATGTAAAGTATAGGAATAATATTGGTAATGTTGGACATGGAGGCAACTCAATGAGTTATGTTAATAACTGTTGAGTCCTGCATTTGTTTTTAGTGTTATAGATAAAAAAGCAAATGATTGTTTCAGATGATTTGAGACCTGCAACCGAAAATGAAAGTGAGTGTGATTTCCAATTCCCAAAAATACATGCAAAGCTGAAAACAGTTTTGAAAGTAACAGTTTCAAAAATAGCGCCAGATAGGTAGTATAAGCTCTGACACAACCTGGAAAGTGGGACAAGAGAAATTGAGAACTCATAGCAAAATATAGTGCAAAAAATAACTTTGAAAAGTAGGGGGCATGGTGCACTGGCCCCCTGTTTTTAAGGGGGCTGGGAAACAGTGTCAATCCCACACATGAAAGATATTATGTATGTGATGTACCACAAACATGACAATATCTTTATGACAAAGACTGCTATTGATTTGGTAGATGAATACTGTTGCTTTGATAGACAAATAAACAGCATGACAATATGTCTTTATATTCAGGCACTAATAAATTCAAAAAATACCTTCTTTGTCTAGCTCTAATGCAGTAAACTGTATTCCAAGGGATGTAAACAGTTCTTTAACCTAGAAAAAACACAACAATATCTTTGAATTGCACATATACATAAAAAAATTAAAATCAAGCACAGCTTTCATTATATCATTTTAACAAAAGCAGTTTACAAAATTACCTACCATGTTTACAGCTAGAAATTAATTTTTACTTATTATGTCAGATAAAATTATATCTAGAGAAAGCACAATTAAATAAACATATATACCATATAAGTAATTTTTCCATTCAGAAGGATAAGCACATTTAGAAGGAAGAAACAATCAGCATTAAAACAGCAAAATAGCTGAAAATAGAGGACAAAAAATAAAACCAACTGACAAGATTGATCTAGCCTTTTTATCCAAAAACATGGAATGTGAGCACACAACACAACATGTACCTTCAAGACTTGGATGTACATTTCCCTAAACAAATTATTCTTGAATGTTAACAAAGCTTGACCAGTTTTAACTTCAGGCCTTCCTGGGAATAAATTAGTATAAGTGTGGCATTTTGCACCCCTATACTGTTTTAGGTGTGTGATGGAGTGCTAATGATGCTTTGTCATATTTCTACAAAGGTACATTTCTACCAAATTTACGAGGGTAGGCCAGAAGAAATACAGCACAAATCTTGTCTAAACTGGAAGCCTTTTGTTTAAAAATTCAACTTAATGGACTGAACTGAACCCAACAGAACCGAACCAAACTGAGCCAAACTGGACTGAACTGCCTTGATGAGCTCTAATAAAAGCTGATTGATATAAAACTGTTACTACAGTGATAATTTACTTATTCTGTGCAAGCTTCGGCACTTTGGCAGCTAGGAGATGGAAAAAAGGCAGTTCCAATGTGAAAAGCCTGAAAATTTCCCACTTTCCCACACCACTAAAAATGCTGACTCACATGCACTATAGTCATATTGTTTCAATTTTGTTACTATTGGTTTTCCATTAAAATCTCCTGTCTTTATGTATCCTTATGCAAAGGCAAATAAAGGAAAAAAGATATATTCCACTTAAATGGTGCAAGAAAACTGTCTATTTGCACTTTCCAAACTGTTTGTTTTCACTCTATTTATACATCATATTTCTATTTTCATTTTGATCTATTTTCCAGGGATTTTATCAGAAGCTAGCAACAGATGAAGATCCACTGCTTATTCACCAGACCTTTGCTGTATGTTTTCACCCCCAGTTTAGTATGAATGTACAAAATTTAGTAAACTTATAGACGCCTACTTTTAGATGAGATTTTTCTACTTGAATAAATAAATCAAAACCCTGATGATCCACTTTTCTCTGCTTTCAAACTTGTCTCCAATGCTTTAAATCCATGTGTTTTCACAGCAGGGCAACAACATAGTAAGTATAGTTAGTATAGTAAGTAAGTATAGGTGGTAGAAGATGGCCTAAACTATACTTGCTGTATAAACCTTAACAGGTATAGCCTTCTTGAGTCATTTCATTCGATATGACATTTGAATATTATCAGTATTATCCAACTCTTCTCAAAATAAAGTTTTGAAAATCATGATGAATAAAGCTTTTTCAGTTCATTATTAATCATTAAAATCGTGACATGAAAGATTTGATTTCCTAACTTCATAACCACTGAGAATATTCTAAACCTGCACACCTCTTTGTCTAGGGTTTAGAAGACTAAAGGATACAATCCAGGTTGGAAAAGATATATGATTTTGCAGATACGCCAATCGGACCAACGGCACATTATCAACTGAGACCTGCAAGCATGTGAGCTACAAGCATCAATGCCCATATATACATTTCTAAAGTAAAATATAAGACTTCCTTGATATTATGGGTTGCTAGAAGTGAGAGTTCTGAGCACAAGAAGTCTAGCATTGCTGCAAGCATATGCAAGTTTTTCAGCCTGGCCTACAATTTTCAAATTCTGGTCTCAACACACATCTACTCTTGAGGAGCTGATGACTTTTGACATTTGAAAGTACTTGAAAGCCCATGAAAGCTGCACAGAAAGATATGGAACAATTTGATAACATTAATTCTTGATAGAGTGCAGGTCCATCCAAGCTATTGTGCTCAAGGGGGGTTTCAAAGTAACTTGCAGATAGAGAGGGTGGGCAGTCTTTTATTTACTAACAAATTATGCAAATTGATGAATAAGCACCCCCAGATGGCAAGAATTGGATTTTTTTCAAGGGGGCGTCACACATCCCTTTATCTTACAGGCCTACTAGAGTGACCGAATTTTTCATAGAATAAATAGTATATAAATAGTTATAGTAGATGGCTTGCGAAATTACGCAATTGATGGACAGGATTTTGCAGCATTATGATACATTCATTTTTTTGTTTTTTCCTTTTTACTTATATGTAAGATGAAAACACTCTGTGATCTCAAATGTCTGTTTCAATTTTAGTGCCACAAAACGTCTTGATAAAATACCTGGCTGCTCTTGACAATAATTTGCTTAGAGAAGTCATTACCAACATTTGATCATTAGTTGTAAACATTTTTTTCAAGACTTTGTGGGGATTCTTAGGCAATCTGTAACAAACATCATGGAATGGTAAACTAAATTGTCACTGAAATCATTCAGTGAAATGAGCTGTATAAGCAGCAAGCTTTCAAGCCAGTAATTGGAAGAGGGCCTAAGATATCTTCGAGCCTTTAATTTGTAACATTGCGATTCGGTTTGGAACTGAATGACTGATTAATATAAAAAGTACTAACCTTTTTGCAAAAGGGACAGTAGCTTTTTGAGAATATCATAACCGCATTTTCGTGTATATACTTCTCTACCAAAGTGACAATATTTTCCGGAACTGGTGCCATGGTTAGGCCTCGGTTGTTTTCGGCAAACAAACCTTTAACTGATTATAATTTTTCCTAAACAGCTTTCCAAATTGCTTTATCAAGCAACTGATAACATTGCAGCTAACGTATGTGTGAGCAGGGGCGGCTGTATAACAGAAAGATCTGCAGCCTGTGGCTGTATTAAAATCCTATTCCAAGGCCTGTACTGTGTACACGCGCGACAAACATTGAGAACCCCACGTGATAAATATCACGTGATCCAAAGAATGCCGAGAAGAAATGCTGCGTCATGCAGTCGCAATCAACATTGCATGAAAAAAGCACTTTGTTGTTTTTAGCGTCACGAAAATTGATACAATCGTTAATTAACGCTTATATGATGCAGAAATTTTTTACGCGATATTGAAATAATGCGAAACTTTGAAACGAAGCGCAAAAGTGTGTCCTGTACCATATAAACGCGATAAAAGGCAGGTCCTAAAATAAGAAATTTTTATAGATCCACATATTCTTTTGAAATGTAGGTGTGGTACTTTGTTTGCATTCACACAGTGGGAGTGGCAATACAATAAATATCCAGCAACTACTTACCTTACAAAAAACACTTTTAGCAGTCTTTTTTGCCAGAAATAAAATTTCATGCCTAACATCTGTTTTCTTTTTTTTCACAGTTTTACACCAAAAAGGCCTAACACCTAACATGGTTAAGCTTCAGAATTTAAAACAGTGTTGTTAAAATCAATGGTCAAAACTTTTTGGGGAGGAATTTTCTGGCTACACACAGTGAGACTCATCAATTTTTATCTTGTTTTCAAATACCAGTGACGTTTTTCTGTCCTGAAATTTCGCTTCGTTACTCATGCCCACCTAAAGCTTTTTCAAAATTCAGCTGTTTCTTAGTTTTGACTTTAGCGCTATTTTATTTTAAATCTTCCTGATTTAACTCTGATTTCTGATTTCTTATAGCAATCTTCTTAAAACTGGTGAAATACGTTAGGCTGCGATTTGGCCTTCATTTTGCATCGAGAAATATTTTCCAAATGCTATTATTCAATTTTCCAAAATTGTTCCTCCCTTTGGCAACACCCTTGCAACCAATGCTATTTCTGAAAGTAGCTTTTCCGGACTAGAAGGAATGAAAATATAGTTACGTATTACTAGCAGTCCAGGTTGAATCATTTAATCTCACTACACGTCCACAAGGAAACAACAGACACTGGATTTGATATCGGTAGCAAATAAGTTGGTTTCTTAAAGTGACAAATGAGATTATAATTTGATTAAATTTTCGCCCAGTTATTTGTCACATTTGCTGAAAAATTTTCACATTTATGTATAATATCATCTGTAGTACATATTAAACTCCCATTCATCAGGACCTCAAGGGGACATAGAAACTCTGTCCCACATAGCAAATGCCCCAGTTGAGCAAAACTCCTGGTGAATGGGACAAGGACGAGCATTTGCTATTTAAAACCTTCAGGGAATCAATTTTGACAGAAACATTGTTTGACAAAAGCGCTGCGAAAGTTTCACTTATCGAGGGTCTCACCATAGTCTCACTTATCGATTGCTATGTTGTTTGGGTACTTAAATTAAAAAAAAACCATTTATGAGAAAACATATCAACTCCAATCCTAAGAAAAATTCATATAGGAGACTTTTAAGATCATTAAGACTAAAATATCTTATGGCATTTCTTCATTTAATTTCTAATAATCCCAAGAAACTCTCAGTACAGAAGGAAATACCTGCTTTTGCCACATATATTGATAAAAAGTGTTTCAAAATTAACAAAAGATTTGTTGTTTGTTAAATTTTGCTTTGTTGGAACCCGAAAAGGTAACTTATTAATCATCAGCCTTTTGTTGTTCTTTGTTGAAATAAAGTACTGCATATTCAAGGAGAGCATCCCTTGGTGGCAAAAACTCCTCGCTTTGAAACATGGATTTTTCTCAAGGGAGGTGTAACACCCCTCACGCTCCAATTGTTCTGGCCCTGCTGCGCCCCACCTCTCTTCAAGAAAAAAGTTGTATCTCGGTCCTTGGAGAAAGAGGACTCTTTTCCAAAAGTTCCTTAATCGCGATAAAAGCCACTTTTCTGACAAACATCGAGACTTTTGTAAAGAGCGGCATTCTTTTGATTTCTAGTGAAGAGAGAGGGGCATACCCGCATCAATATATCTTGTTTACAATTTTGCCAAAGAGAACTTCCTTTTATTGGGAAGTAGGAGAACACCCATTAGCTCGTATTAGAATTAGGAATTTCGGCAACTTTAATAGTCGTTTTAGGGGTTCAGGGGGCAATGATCCCAGATCTGGGTTCATGGTTGCAAGATAGGGCCTTGCACCTAAGTAAGAAAAATATAAAAGTCTTAAAGATAAAGGGCCCGGCTTTCAAAACTGCAAGATTATAAAGCTTCCTGTTTACAGTTTATTGCCAGATTGTGATGTCCTTGTAAATATTACCTGTAATTTGTAAACGCAGCTGCATAAAATCAAGTTTTAGTCATTCGAGCACAATCCAGAAGTCATCCATCTTGCCAGGCAGGGCAAAAGACAATTGTCCCCAAATATTATAAAAATCATGTAGACAAAAATTGTTGGAAAAAAATAAAAAATCTCGTTACAGCAGTCTTAAAAAAGGTTTGATGCAAGATGTAAACTTAAGAAAAAAACGAGTCTTTCCAATACTACAATATCTTACTCTTTAAAAAGAAATAACATACTTTATGCCCTTATTACACTTTTCTAGTTACCTCACTTGAAACTAACAATGCAATTGAAAAGTACAGTTTAAGTTCAGAGACAAAAAGCACTTTCAAATTATAATTCTATTAGGCTAAGAACTTTGGCAGTGTACACGAAAAAACTACACAATATCAGAAGCTTAAGCTGTTAGCTTGTGTTATATTGCTAGCGTTGTCTAATAGTGGCTGAACAAGAGCAGCGTGCTTTTTAAAAAAGAGATTGGGTCCTGATACGTCATCACATTTCTACTGCTACCTAGCACCTATACGAGCAAGCTTATATACTGTACAAAACTCAGATAGGTAAGCATTGTGGGTAACAATGCTTATGACTAATGTCCAAACAATTGTCATATCATTCTAAATCCCAAAATTCCTTTCGTCGGAAAAAATCCATCCTTGTGGGGGAGGTAGTGAAAAACTCCATACAGAACTGTCTGGTTCAACAGATTTCTAATTTGAGGAGCTTTTACTGTATTTTCGACCTTTAGCTATGGCTAAACTCGAATAACTGTAGGAAAGATGTGTCTAATTGGAAAGTGATTTTAGTCAGCTTTAAAGTCTCTGTAAAAACTCTTTTGTCTTGCCTTTCTCTTGCTGCACTGCAAATACAATCAAAAAATAACTTTTTTTAAGTCCTTCTCTGTGACTACTTAAAAATGGTAGCTGATTTTACTAAATGGGATATTTACAAGAGACTTTGTTTTCAAAGTTCTTTTGGCCTTAAAAATATTATCAAAAATTAAAAAATGTAACTTAAGCTTATAAAAAGAAGCTTGTGTTCAACACAGCACAAAATTGATAAATGATATGACTTTGCTAAACCCTTAAGGTGCAAAAAATTAAACATTACTAGAACTAGAGTACGAATTACATGATGAAACCTAAGCTATCTACGATTAGTGCAAAATCTTTTTACAACAGCTGCTTTGTGAGCAACTTTGAGAAATCCTTTGAGTTAGTAAAACTAAGCTAAAACAGAAATAAAAAAGATCAACAGATTACACCAACCTACAATATACCGTTGTAAATGAATACAGACAAAGTTGTCTTGCATGAAAGTCTTCAAAAAAGTGTTAAGCTTTCTCACACCTTTGCCTCTCCGCAAGGTTTGTGATTGGCTTTGCTTTCAATACGCTTGCGCCATTTTCGACACACTTGCTTGACGTCATCCACAAACGCAGCCTCCACTTCATCCATTGTCATTGCGTTATCCTTATCTTCTTTTCCATTGCAAAAGTCAAACCCCTTTGTAGCTGAAAATCATATATTCCTTATCTCATCAAAACTTCAAAATACCAAATTGCTACGTATTTTTTTCAAAAAATCGAAAAAGATGTAAAGCAAATATTAAATCTTCCCTCAGCATAAATTTTCGATATTTCCTTCGAAATAAAAAGTGGTTGTTCAAAAATTGACGGCTTGTTGTGCTTCAGATTGAGATAAATGAAAATTTACACTTTTGTAAAACTAATGAAACTTTTCTCAATAGGCGTAGACTTGCATTTTTCAGGGGGGGGGGGGGGGGGCTCAAAAAAATAAATGACAATTCCTAATGGCAGCTGCTGATGTCAATTTGTCCATAGCTATTATCACGTCAGCAAAGATCGCACGTTGCTTTTCTCTTAAGCTTCCAGCCTCTCTGAAGGATTGGCCTCGAGTTGGATCTGACCTTATGTTCGCAATAATTTCATATTCTATTTTGCTGTAAACGCAATTATCTAATGCAACCAATATTATGCGTGAAACCAATAATATAACAAACTTATCTAAAAATTGGTAAAGCACTTCCTTATTTTCCAGGGGGGCTCAGCCCCAGAGCCCCCCTGAGTTTATGCCTATGCTTCTCTCCATACTAGTCACAAACGATTACAGCTACACAATGACAATAGCAATATTTGTTTCCTCTTTTCAAGCTTATGAAACAGGTTTTAAGAACATAACATAAAGCATCTTACTCTTCGGCATTTCAATCAGATATCTTTCATCTGAAAAAAACGTCAAATGCGAGTATTAAGATTATTTGGCTTATTGTAGACTTTTTGAATTTTAAAGTTAAATTTCATAATTCGAAACAACTTCTCATAGAGCAATGCAGTGGAACCTCCATATAACGGACACCAGTGGGACCAATGTTATTGTCCGTTGTAAAGAGGTGTCCGCTGTATGGAGGTGTCATCTTTTTTTAACTTTTGTTTTGGGACTCAGAAATCTGTCCGTTATTTTGAGGTGTCCGTTGTATAGAGGTGTCCGTTGTATAGAGGTGTCCGTTGATGGAGGTTCCACTGTAAATGCTTTTAAAAACGGATGGAAAGCCTATTAATTCTTGTTTTTTTATTTATTTTTATTCGATAATAGCGTTTCATTCGAAGAATGAGTGTCGAAAAAAGAGTACACCGATAAAAAAGAATAGACGTTCCTCGAGCTTCATCCTAGGTTCATCCCACATGATGCGAGCAAGCTTTATACAGAGAACAATGACATAGAGAAATGGAGGGCAAAATGGAGAGCAAACGGATAATTACCAGAGGTAAAAGTGACTAACTCGTCACAAAGAAAGCTTTGCCAAGTTTTGTCATTGAGTTATTCGTAATATGAAGTGCTATTAGAAAGATAATATCGGGATTCATCAGTTCCTAGCCATGTGAATATTCGCTAGAAAGTGTTCAACTTTGCCGTGTTCAACAAATACACACGCCCAATTGAGAATGAAATGGTTACACCGTTTCTTGTTGCATTACCACAACCGACAGGAAATGTCACAAGCGATGGAAGCATTTTTACATATTTCATCCCAACCAGACTATGTTTATTGACTTACCTTTGGGCTTTGGAGCTCTCTTCTTCTTTCGGAACACTATGAACTGGATAAACAACCCACCGACGAACAAACAGCCACCAATACCAAGAAGACAGAACAATGTGACAATGAAGATTGGCGATTCATGGCTGAACACAGAGGTTGTTTCCTCGGTCTGCTTGCTTTCGATTTTCTTTAGGATGAAATTAAGAAATTTGTATTAGAAGACACAAGATTTTGAATTATATAAGCAAGTGGAGAGAGAAAGAGTGCCATTTGAAAACGTTTAGGGAACCTTTTTTTTCTGGAGACCTAGACGAGCAATCCTTCTTGTTATAGTGCTTTCGTGCATTCTTTTGATAAATCAAATTCTTCATATTGTTTCGATAAAGTTTAAAGATAAAAATTATTCTTATCTTCTTAAAAATAATTTGTCATTTTTGAATTTTCATGCTTCGAGGTTCGAAGATAAAATATTGTTGTTTAATGAGTAATTTTTGTCTCCTTCATGTCTTCATAAATTTCTGTATTTTTTCCACACCAGCAGCCACAAAAAAGTCTTAGATACCAAACAACGGAATACAAAGGACATTGACAAGTAAATAAATGACGCAAAACCAAGTAAGGAAAAATATTAGGCGAAACTATTAGACTTTGTGGCTTATAGATAGAGAAGAATAGTTCTGTTATTTTCCTATCGACAATGTTTTCTTTTCGAGCATTGGGTATTCCGATGCCTGCTTGTTTAAAACAAAAACAAGTACAGCTTGTCAGAAAACTAAGAAAAAATGGTGTAATTAAACAAACCGAGCCTTAATGCACTTGAGCAGGTAGGGATCCAAGGTCCTGTTTGTTTTGAAGAAGTGTGCCCAATTTAAAGGGGTGTGTATCAGTACAGACACGCTATACTGTTCTATTTCTATAGCTCCATGTATCCTTGCTAGCTCCTCAGTCAATCCACCTGTTAAGCGCCGTAAAACAACAGAACTCCATACGAATGTGTGTCTGATTTACTGCTATAGGGCAGCCGTAGAGGTAATACGATACTTTATATATAGAGAAATCAATTCAAAAGGTTATGCCCCCCTCCCCCATGAAAAAGACAAAATTGGAGCTGGGTTTGATGCGATAGATCTATTTAATAAAGACATTTTGCAATGCCATGTGATGCTCAAGATTTGAATGCTCAATCTTCAAGATTTGAATGCTTCTTTAGGACTGGAACAGGAGTTCCGACCATTTGTTTGGCTTTACTTGTCTTTTGTAACATTTTCCCAGTTTTTTTCAAGAATTTGACTGATGTGTATGGTGCTATTGCCATATGGTATAATGAAGGGTAAGACAGGGACCATCGATGTAAACAGATCGCTGTCTTCTTTTATATTAGACTTGAGCAGCTGTGACTGCGAAAGTTTGACGACTTTCTTGAAATGTTTACTTATATCATTTATCTGATAATTTTGTTGTTTTGCAAATATTTAATTTTTAGATATAGTTATTGGTGATAACTCCTCTACAACTAATGTCTTGCTGTAAATGATTCTGACAAGCTATGCTTGTTTTTGTATGAAAATAAAAAAATAAGTTAACATCTTGCTTAGGCCTGCTGGTTTTATTGAAGCGATGATAATAACTTAAATTCATAAACAATATTGTTGTAGTGAATGATTGGTAGAAGGAGTTAAAGGCAATCTGTCTCGTTGTGGATTGGTTAACGAGAACAATAGCTGGAACAATAGCCTAAACACAATTCCAGCGCTCCGCCATATTTTTCTCAATGCGATTAATTAAAGGACTGGAAACAATGAAAAAATCCCTTTGTTCTTATAATCAATCAACGTCGTGACAATTTGCCTTTAAGTTTAACTGTCGCGCAGGTAAGCCTGTAAGATAGAGATACACAGTAGAAGTGGAAGATTAGGGAGAGAATTGCTAATCGATTCATGAGCGTAGGAACTTTGGGTAGTAAAGGACCTTACAGACTAACTCTATTACCTTCACACCAGCCATCGCTTGGGCTATGATTGCCTCTCTCTGGTCCTCATTGTTGTCAAAAAAGGTCTTGAAGAAATACTTCATGGAGCCTTTGGGCAAACCAACATCCTTGATTGTTATTCCATACGCTGTACCAGACATCGCGACACGGTGACGGAACTCAAAGTCAGGCAGGGCTTTCTTTATTTTCGCTGAGAAAAAGTTAGCAACGTTATCGTCAAAAGCAGCTCCTGAAAAAAAATAGACAAGATTGCTAGTAAACTCTACGCTTTAAGCTAAAAATAAACTATTGAAGAAACGCGTTAGAATAAACAACGAGCCTCGAGATCGTTCTTTCACAGTCGATTATGATTTTTGTAAGTCCATAATTGTAATCAACAGCAACATTATTTTACAAATTTTAGCTTTGCAAAGAAGGTAAGAGCTGACATCTCTAAACAGGTTCAGCATACAAGGAGAAAAGGTGCATAAATAATAAAATGCAGCTTTGAAGGGGTCATTTTTAGATATAATTGTACTTTTAAATATTCTACAGGAATCAGTAATTTTTATTGGGAAGTTTTAGTGCTACTTTTTTACATGGGTCATAATAAAGCATATTCCAATACCTTAAGGAGTGTTTCCCAGAAAAATTTCCTCAAAAATCAAATCGTTTGCAGACCAACGAAATTAATAAAATTTGTCAGTTAGAATGTGTTTCAATATATTCGTATACATAAAAGAGTTGTTTTAAGTTTGTTCCTTTTTATTTGATAACGTCTATCTTATTCCCAATCCTTTTTTCAATTTAACTTGCTTCAAAACCAAGAAGATTTGTTTCATCTCTAAATGTACGGCTGCTGAATTCTTCGCCCCGTGCATAATAGAAAAACGTCTGTTTTCAAGGCCCTTTTATAAAAAGAAGTGTCTCAAAAAAACATCCCTCCAAGACAACTATTGTATTCAGTGGACATTCAGAAGTAACTCATCAAAGGAAATTCATATATGAAATTTAACAAACATACCATCAGCTTCTCCTTTCTTTAAAGCACGGATGATTTCATCAATACCCCCATATCCTGATAAGAAAGAGAAATAATTATAGGGAAAATCTCACATTCATCTCACTAGCTGATGCAGTCTAAAATGCTAATAATGAGCCTTTGCGAGGGTGGCAAATATCCAGGCGACAATCCAAACAATGACAGTAAACTTTTACGGATTAACCATAATTGATTTCAGACTGTCTGAAAATGCATTATGGGATGCTTGCGTAGCGCAATTGCTCATTGTTAGTAGTGAGTCTTAAAGATCTCGAAAAAATAGCTTTTCTAGAAAGATATAGCACATATCCAACAGTAAATATCTCTAGAACGTTAATAGGTATAAATTTTATCACTTCCATTTGTTGTGGGGGAGGGGGTGAAAAACTTTGTTCGATAACAAGGACATATTGCATTCGATATGAAATGTCATACCAATACAAGACAAAGTGCATCATACTGCAGAAAATTATTCTAAACCTAGCGCAATCAACAGCTTTCAGATTTGTAGCCAATCTAGAGAGGATCAGTGATAAGCTTTTATAAGAACAAAACAGAACCAAATTCTTTCCTTAAAGTGCCTGTGACATGATTTTTTTATTCTCTTAATTGAAACGTTTCACTGCTCTTATAGTAGATCTGAACTATTTTTTGAAATAAAAGCGTTTTGATATTGAAATTAAGCAAAATAGTGCGGCCTAGCCAAGTCGCTTTATCATCATTCGCCGTTCTCTTGTGACGTCATGGGAGGAACTCGTTATTGTAACAATGTAAGCGCTACCTTCAAAAATCTCATCCTCGCTGCCACTACTTTCTCTGGAAATATCGCTCATCTTGAACCTGTTAGATTTCCCTCATTGACTACGATACAAAAACTCGAAGGAGGAGGCGATCGGGTCCCTCCCGTGACGTCACTGTCTACTTATTCTGAAAACCAAGATGGCGAATTTTGGCGTAGAAGATCGCCAATAACTCCTTCATTTCTCACGTAACATAAAAACTAAACTCAGAAATGAAAAAAACAGGCCCTTTTACATAAGAATAGATACATAAACCAAAAAGTACGAAAATCATGTCACAGGCACTTTAAATACATATCACATGAAAATAGAAAATGGGCAGTTGGTTTCAGGGAATTTTTCAATAACTTAAAGCCGTATTACACCTGTTTTTAGAAGAACCAGGAGGCTAGATTGTTCTAAATACGTCCTTGAATAATAGAATGAAAATGTCGAGTAAATTTAGACTGGAGAGAACAATTTACTTCAGAGCAACATTTGTTGTGTAAATTGCAGGAATCGTTTTTCAATAACACGAACAAAATATATACAATACGATTAAAGAGATATATCATTGGCAAAAATGTTTTTACAGATAAACTTCCTCAAATATAATCTATGTAACAATTCTCAAAAAACCATGTTCTTAACAATGTTTTGACAAGTCAGGTTCATAATTGGAAAAGCGTATGCAAGAAAACGTTTTTACAATTACGTTTTAAAGTACCTCAGCTTGATTTTTTAACAACTACAATGAGGTAATTAGTCTACCTCCGATATTTACAAATATACAAAGTGACATTTTTGATAAATACTAAAGAAAATTGCTGTAAATTAAAGAATCTGCGTAGGTATACACTGCATCTGCTGGCCCCACCCAAATTAAAAGCAAGACCTTTGTCAAACACGGCTCATGGAATCCAAGAGATTGCATTTCGAAATTCTTGACTCAAAGCAAACTTTATCGTGTTTTGACAAAAAATGGAAGCTCAAAGCCGATGTTTCCTCTGGTTCCTGATTGCTTATAGCAATGTGCGAGGATCGCTCAGTTGTTAGAGGCGCGGACTACAGACCCAAGGGTCCGTGGTGTGAGTCCCTGGCATGACCAAACTCTCATCCAGAGTGAGGAGAGTAGGAATCACGAGGTGTGGTCACATCGAGAGGAAGGACCAGGACACTGCTCGTTAAGCATAGCTTCTCAGTGTTCTAAAAAACTACCTTCGGATGTTTGGTAGAAGTAAATAAAGATACAAAAGTTGCAAAAGTGAATAAACAATATCAAAACTACAAAACTAATTATGAACTGAAATTATCTTTTGAGCACAGTTTTGACAAGAGATGAAGGCCTTTTTCGCCCAAAGATATATCTAGCTCGCAGAAAGTTGTGTTTAAAAGAAGGTTACTTTCCCCGCTAGAAAAAAAATATTTCTTAGCTTACCTTTGATTTCAGCATTTTCTCTCCTGGCAGCAGCATGTGAGGCTGCAGTGGTGTTGACAACTGCTATCTAAAATAAATAGTTTTAATGTACATTAGAAACAATTTAAAGAAACATATAACCTAGAATTTCCGTAAAGAAAGAGAACATGGGGCTGTGGCCACTCACTACCTAATTGCCATTGAAAAATGCTCATGCCATGTTATATCATCCAATTCAAAATATGAGGGGTGAGCGGGTTAGGATGCCTTTTTCCTGTGACAAACTTCCGGAATCTTTATTCTGTCTTTGGGTCAGTTTTGCTCCTGTAATATTCGATGCCTGCGTACGTAACTGAATACGTGACAAAAGGGGTGTGTTTTATTGGCAGTTCAAAGCCATGTGCAATAGGTAATCTGTGGCAGAGAATCTGGGAAGGAACAGATTTCTAACAGTGATGGAACTATTTAGAAAACATTTCAAGGTATCTTGTTAGATTGGTTGGAATTCAATAAAAGAAGCTCACTGAAGTAATTTGCTGTGCTAGGTGTGATCTTCCGTGCTAGCTATTATTTGCGTTGTATTTTATAATATGCTAATATATAATCGTTATAATATGATTTTATCGCCATGGAACTGCCTAACGTCGTAGTACTGCCAGAATAGAAGGAAAATACTGGCAAGTGACTGCCAAATAGCTTTTTTCCAAATTTAAGGATCCTTAGAAATAGTCTTTTTGAATAGAAAAAAGGTTTTTTGCTAAATCTGTACAAGCACCTTTAACTGAAAGAATCACAATTGAAGAATCTCAGGTACAAATTTTATATACAGTTTGTCTTTCGTGAAAGTCTTATATGAATAGCAGTTTATTCCAAATGAAAAATTTAAACATATGGTAGAGAGTTTCTATCAATTCACCTGGGTCAGGAAGAAATGGGGGCTAACAGTAGTTAACATAGCGAACTAACAATTCGCCAGCCAAATATTAGAAATTTGGAGACTGTCACACCCCTTTAAAATCCCTCGTCAGATACAAAAAGATTGTTTCCCAGAACATTTTGTCATTCATTTTTATATAAACACTAATCTCGCAAAAGTAAGCCCCTTTCCTTGCTCAGGTTTGAATGAGAAGTCGCACTTTTACATTCACAATGTCTTTCACAAGGTCATCATTTCATCTCTTTTACTTGGCAAACTTAATTAAATCAACAGATTTGTACAATATCATCAAAATTCAGCAATAGGCTCACAGTGAACGTGTATCTATGATGCCGCATTTGTGAGTTTCAAGGCAATAATTGAGATTCAGACATTAGCAAAGGGAAAACATCGTTTACTGTAGAAGTAAAAGTCGACCTGGGAATAATCTGCTTATCTGTTGAGATAATTATACGCTATATCTCGTTTATGCACTAATTTAATATAGATTGGGCCTGCCAAAGAAACTGGATATCTCAGCAAGGTCAAACCTGATCAACACTTTTTTCGAACATTGAATCCCTTCGAAGGTAAGCACCAGTATGGCCCAAAGGGTTTATCTCGAGCACAAAAAACAGAGGTTGGTTTATTCCTTTCTATCCTCCATTTGAGTCATTTTTTAAACGGTTTAAAAGCTTATTGAGGTGCAAAAAGAACAACAAGGCGTTATTTGTTTGCCAGAGCTTTCGTTATATGGACTATATATACTTTATTGCCTTCTATTGCATCATTCAAAAAGATTGTCTGCTGTATTCTAAAAAATAGGAATCTCTTGCACGTGTAAAAGTTAAACATGTGCTCAAACGCAACACCTTTATCAAATTCACAGCAACAAAATTGCACCAAAACTTGCAGAACAAAGAAATGACATGGTACAGGATGCAATATCTCTTTCCTTCATCCTTTGCAATTAAATTGTTTATTACTTAGTATTACAATGCTTCGCCTGAGAGATAGAAAGAAGATTATGAAAGGTGATTGATTTCATTTGTTTTTAAAGCGAGCCCTTGTAGATGGTTTGTCGAAAAGGGTATGCTCTAATGGAGAAAGACCTACCGATACAAGATGTGGTCTAATCTTAGCTATAACTAACTGCTCCATTGCTAAGAATTAATCAGCACATGAAGTAAATAGAGCCTTGATATGGAAGAATACCTTAAATCTGAATTTTTGGATGGGGGCTTATTCGAGGGAGGGGGGCTTTTTCGAGGGGGGGGGGGCTTATTTCAAAGTTTAGTATTATCCACAAAGGTCAACATAGAAACGACATAATTTTTTCAATGAAGTAAAGTGAAAAATTACAAAAAGGCTTTTTTGCAAAGGAAGCTTAACAGTCAATGATGATTTCTGATATCATTAAAAGAGTTAAAAAGTGCTGTGTGAAGATCTAAAAAATATTCTAATTTTTCACCATCACAAAAGTCGCTTATTTGCTTTTTGGTCTCCAATCAAAGGAAGTAATACTATAAAGCTATTGTCCTGTGGGGCTTTCTTGAAATAAGATATTATTCTACAATTATGCTTTCCTCGAATAAGACTCAATGGAATAAGTAGCGAAAAGTAATTTTTTGTAGTTTATGCTTTAATCGATAACAAAATATAGGATTTAAACATTTATTGGAATGATGTAACTCTTTCTAGTTCCACCTTTCTCAAGCTAACCTCCCAATAATATTCAATGGTCATATAAAAATTACTTGAAATTCCTCAATTGGCAAAGATCTTCTTAATCACATTCTGTTTGTTTTGCACTCGAAAAACTACAGACCGCTATAAATCATATAAACATCAACGTACCTTTTTCCCTGAAAGGGAATCACGAGTGACGACAACCTTTTTGGTCAATGCTGAAGTGAGTGCAGCTGAATACATGGAGAAGATGGTCACGCCCAGGAAAATCCAAATAACAGCAAAGATTCTTGCGATGTATGACTTTGGCGCTCTATCACCGTAGCTACGAAAACAATCGAGACCTCAGTCAATACTCATGGCATACATCTGACCAATCCCTGTCCTTACCAAAACGGTTATACAGAGGAATGGTGATCATAATTTAGAGAATTTGAGAGCAACAGTGTTCTTTGTTGTGACGTATATGAAAACATCATTAACCTCTTGAAATTGGACCACATAACCTTAAAAAGCACGATAAACTACCAATAAATGTGCAATATCAGTCAAACATTGTATAAATTAGCTGAGGTCTTGCAACAAGAGTACAAGCTCGTTCCCCATTAATTCACCATAATTTGGTCTTGGTCCTAAAATCCATGAACGAGATCAAAACAGCAGTAATTCATTAGCAAAATTCAGTTCTTTCATTTGCTATATCTCAGTCAATATAGAAGAAATTCAAACATACTTTGAAGCTTTAAGACATTTCATGGTGTTTCTTTGAATAGAATGGTCATAAGTCAAAAATAGTTAAAATTGGGACTTTCTTTACTTTAGAACCTTAAATGGTTACGTATCAAAAAGAAACTTGTTTTAAGGTGTTAATAAGTCAGAAACTTTTCAATTAGGATGGGTGGAAGGATGGATTGGCCTTTCATGTCAATAAAGCATTTCTCTTTCTCTCCCTATCTCACAATTTGATATACTGGCCGGAATTCATAATTTTGTTAAACGTTTGCGACTCTAAGCTTGGTACAATTAATGTGTTCTATATCTGCCAGCACTTTTCAGTACAAAGAAAAATTCATTAAAATTAGTTCCTGTAATGTCACCAGCAGGAGTTAAAGTGACATCATCAGGAAAGGATGCTTTATCAGTTTGGGCTTCTCAACCTAAGTTGTCTGGGACTCGCAATTTCAGAAATCAGAAGATCTATCGGTATTTTTCAGAGCCACATGAAATGACAATAATTTTTCGCTTTAAAGAAGCACCAGCAAACTGGGCCTTTTCTATCTATGAATTCAAGATTCATCTAAAGAAGGATTGTTTGTTAAAAGAGGAAATGTCACTTTGGTCAAAGGGAGCTAGAAGCTTCAGCTAGAAAAAAGAATCACTCAAACTGCTCCAGCAATAGGAAGTTGGGTTATGCTTAAGACTGAAAACGATGCTTTGTACAAGCAGCTTTTCTAATCACGCATTTGATCGTGGCGAAACCATAAGGAAAACTTAACCAAACAGAAAGCCTATCTAAGTGTGCATAAATATCAGTGAGGTTGAATACCTCTACGATGCAGTTGGTTGCAATATATTGACGTTGGTTTAGACAATGTTGGATAGCTAGTGTAAATAAAGTTTAAAATGCTAACCAAAAATTTCAACTTTTGCCATCAAAGCTTAATTGTGATAAAAAATTAGTTTGAAAATTTTGATTTTCGGTAAACAATGAACTTTTTTTATCTTCAAAGCAAATTTTTTTTCGCCAAACTAAAACATGGTTAATATTATTTATTTAAAAGAGTAGTGTTTGGTTGCAAAGAAAAACAGACCTTTATTTTTATCAATAAAGACGATGAGAGGGATAGATTAAAAATCTTAAAAAATTGCTGAAGTGGCGCCAAGAATTTATCAGCTTGCTTCTGCGGCTGCAGACATCTGAACAAAACGTGCATGCGACTCAGATAGAGTGAGGCAGAGTTGGGAAAGTTTGAGCTTGGGCGCCCTGAAAACGATGATTATCAAAATCAGTTACAATCTAAACCCTACTTTTATTGTACTAAGATTGAAAATATAGGGTATTCTTGTCAACTGAGCAGAAAATTTTCCATTTCTGTTTCGACTTGAGGACTGAACTTTCTCATCACATCAAAAAGGACTCAAAGCATCTTGAATAGAGCAGAATGGCTTAAATTTGAGATCAGTGCCAAAACCTAAACTAACGATCTGTCCACATGAATTCGTTTTCAAAGAAAATACAATTTTTTCTTCGCGCTTTTACCTCCCGTCAAATGGCAACGATACATATAAAACTTAAAACACAAACCATGCCAATTTTTAATCTCTATTCAAAAGGGTTTTCAAATTGATTATTATACGCTACCATGTCCCAAAATAAAGTTTTTTATCGTATTAAAGACCAGGATCGTATTAAAGGGTTTCTGCATTCCATAATTCTGATGGTAACTTTTGCTACAGGTAAAGATTTTTAACTCGGTTACTTTTTTTCCCATTGCTGACGAATGTCACTTTAGGTTAAGTATATTTGTTATTATTTTGCAAACTGGCGCAGGTTAGAGGGAGTGGAATCTTTGAAAAGGAATGATTTGAAAACAAACTATTTTCTTGTCAAAGCCAAAGATTGGGTTATTGATGTAGATAAACAACAGTCTTTGTAGAACGAGAATATATAGACAGTACCACAGGGCTCAATACTTGGACCTATCCTCTTTAATATTTTCCTAAAACTAGTTTTGCAATGATAGTAATGGACCTTAGTGTACGTTTACTGCTGACACACATTATCTGTATCCGCAAGCAATCCTTATTAACTACTGATCGATAAAATCTGTAAAAATCAGCCAAAAAGTAAAATTCCTTTCAAGACTAGCGAGGCATGCAGGTCAAAGAAAAAACATAATTTTAAATTCCTTTGAACCATGTCATTTCAATTAGTCCATATTAATATGATGAGTAGCAAAGAAATCAACGAGAGGGCGTTACCACTAGCGTACACTGACTATTCACCTTCGTCACCTACCAAAGATTCAGTCTAGCTCGAAAGGAACTGCCAAGTATGAGTTGAATCTTAAAATGTTAGCACATAAGGAGGCATCAATAAGCTTTCAAACGAGGCTTTTGTACTTAAGAAATAACTCACCCCACTGTCGTCATGGAAACAAACGCCCACCAAAAGCCTTCAAATGGACCTCTTAGGAATGACCTCGGGAATTCAAGGACATTGAACCATGTATCCTGAAACACCAAATGAATAAACATATGAGAATAACATGCAATGACATATATCTTAGTCATGTATGATCCAAGTAGAATTTTCATTACCATAATTAAGTGACTAAAACATAAACGAGTTGATACCATATACTCATATCAATCCATTAGGACGCTTCAAGACGAGCTCGTAGGGGCCTCATACTGAAGTTTAAATTAAATATTGGGCTTTTTTCAAAATGACAATCACTATTTCAATGCCTCAAAATGGCTTTGAAAAAAGCCATCATTTTATGACATTCTAAAAGCTTTTTAGTCTGACTCCCCTTAGAGTATATTCCAAAGCCATTTTCAAATTTTGCACCGCCAAAAAACCATATTATAATTTAGAATAGTATTTTGATAATTGAAAGTTGTAAGCAAATTGGAAATGGTTGCGATAATATTACTAGTAACGAAAGCATTAACGTTGTTCCACGAATCAAAATGGTACAGGGAGAATTTTTAACTTTGTTTTCGAAAACTCAAGATAAATCCCACGTTCTTTGGGGCTCCACCTTCAGAGAATCTAGGGACAAAACATGCTCTTCATCGAATTCCTTGGACGATAATTCTTTCAATATAGAATTGATTTGTAATTAAGGGTTCAGTGTAGCCTACAGAGTTTTGGGGCATTTGCTACAAAGTTTGGTAAAGCAGATTTCAGGATGCAAACAAACTAAATAATTTGCAGGCCATAATACATGTAAGGCTGAGATTTAAAAGATCTTAAAGAACTTTCAGCAAATTCAATCAAAACAGGGGACGATTAATACCATATTTCCCTTATGTATGTAGAATTACAAGCAACCGGCAAAGGCAAGCAAAAGCAATGTCAATGATACACATATTGTAATATCTTGTTTTTACATCAAATCAGTAAAGACGATGTGTCAAAGTTAGGATGCATCTTACCATCATCCAAATTGCGATTCCAGCAATGATGGCCATGAGCAAGGCTGTGATAAAAAGCGGCCACGTTGATAGAACGGACTTGAATAAGTCAGCAGTCAACTCACTGGCACTGTGTCTCTGTGGCTTGAGCAAGAAACTTACAGCCGGGACTTCCAAGAAATAGATGAACTCCCTACTAAAGAACTGGGTGCTTGACTTTGAGGTTTCAATGGGCATGACAATAGAAGCATTTTTGTTGTGGAACTTTGTGAGGTAGGTAGCTGGGCCAACGAACTTTAGCTTGTTACAGCCAAGGCAGCATGTCGACATGATAGATCGAAGCATGTCTGAAAAATAATTTAAATAAACATTTCATGATTTGATTCAAAGTTTTTCACTGTATGACTATCGATAAAGGGAATATGTAGCCTATTGGAAAATACAGTGCAATCCCGATATAACGAACCCCGGATATTACGAACTTCTCGGTATAACGAAATAAATGTCTGGTCTCTTGTATTCTGCCTAACAAACTCCTTAAAAATTCTCTCGGTATAACGAACCCCGGATATAACGAACTCCCCGGTATAACGAAATAAATGTCTGGTCCCTTTATCATTATTACCCTCAATATAACGAACTTTCATAAATGTTTCATCTGTTGTTTTTATTTTTCTACTTCCGGTATTCTCTTATCACTTTCTCTTGGGGGAAAATCATTGGTTGATAGACCCAGAGCACGAGATAAAAGTTTGATCGCGTCAGAAATTACAGCGAATGAGTACATTGACACTAACGAATACCTTCTTACAACTGAGGCATTGGCAACGAGTGACGATAAATTTTTTTTCGAGAGACCCAGATGGAGAAGCAGAAAAAGACAAATAGAATCTAAAGTAATTAAAAAACCTCATTCAGCCGCCACCTAGAAGTGAAGTGATACCAACTTTGTCAATCTCTTGGTCCCAATAATTAGAGGAACATTAAGGTTTTCATGTTGAATGTCTAACCATTAGTAACATTTGAATTCAGCTTGGTTTTTAGAGTACAATGTTCACAGAAGTTTGAGATAGCCTAAACAAGCCAACCAAAGTTTTTTCAGGCGTGTACTGCGAAGAAACCTAAAAAACGTTTTCTCCCGGTTTAACGAGAGAAAACAATGAAAAAACAGAGAATGTCCGGAAAAGTTTACTGAAATGTTGATAAGAAATGTAGTATCCTCAGTAAAAAAGAAATCAAAAATCCATCTCAATTAGAGAAGCAAAAAATTAATAAAAAGTAAAACAATGAAAAATATGCAGCTACAGTTTTCAAGCATATATGTGTTATCGTTTCAAGTTAGATTTGAATCCATCCATGCGAAACACTTAATTAACTATGATTCAGACACGAGGCACAATCAAGACAAGAAAAACACTGATCAACATAACTGAAATGTCATATGGTTAGATTAGTGGTCACTGCTTTAATTGGTGGTCCATTCCTTAGAATGAATTTGAAGAACTCGATCTAAATTAAATTCCTATCTTGCTGAATAAAAATCAACAATGTGGTTTTAATCATATTGGAATAATAGGGTCGAGGCAACGAAAGAAAAAGTCACTTTGTTTCCGATTAAGTAGAAGGTTTGTGACAGGTTTTCTGAAATATATCCTACTCAGACAAAAGCTAGCAATAATAGCTACTCCAGAGGCTTTCTTGTGGTGTTGTGCTGGCAATATGAACAACTATAGGTTACTAAGAGAAGTTTTCACAACTGTTATTGAACTTCATATTTTGTTTTAAGTTCTTCAAAACTCATCACAGCCGGATCAAAAAAGAATTTAGGGCCTGTTTATATGAGCAAATTTATTCCATCTCTCAGCCCAAAATCTGGCAGGTGGGATGAAATCATCGAATGTTTACATGCAGATTCTAGCCCACCTTCTAGCTGTATATTGAGAAAATCACCCCACCATCCAGCTTGTGTGCTGACAAGCTGGACGAAATTTGATCGTATTTATATGAACATTTCATCCCATCTTCTAGCTTCATCCCACCTTCCAGCGCTGATATGGAAAAAATTCATCCCACTTCAGTAAGGTCCCATCTCTCATGAAGTGGGACCTCACTTAACCGGGATCTCGCATGTTTTCCATATAGCTAAACGCAAAACACAAAGGATTCTATAGAAGAGTGGAATCTCACCTCTCAGCTCACAGGCTGAAGGGTGGGATGATTTTTCCACATAAACAGGCCTTTGGATGCTTGAAATTAGACTATGCATATAAACGTCTCAAATTGTTTGCGGTATTCTGAAATTTCACAGTACAACCGGCTCATTTGTCTATTCTTATAAGATTAGAAGGTGCATTACCTATCTACAGAAAGCACTTGAATTCGCTCTATGTATTTAAAGCCATACTCTCCACTATATGGCACTTTTAGTAATTTTGACATTTATACGTTGTTTCTTATCGTCAACGCGTTACTCACAATGCTTACAGGTAACACGAGAATGTTAACACAAGATGGACAGTCGCTAAAACCAAGTTCCCAATTTTAAAGAGCTAGGAATAATTAGGAATAATTAGGTAAAGGCGCATACTTGATTAAATGTTCACTTGATTGATGCGAATTCAGACCGAAATTACGTTAGCTGGGTTTTGGTGCTAATTTAAAACACCTTGCCGACCATAGAAAGACTCATGTGTTACTTTCTCATTTTCCAGTCAAAACATAAATTTATATAATCAAAAGCTGTCTTCAATTTCATTAATCCATGACAGTCTAGACAAGAAAACTTAAATTATTCCAGGAATATCTAAAAACATTTAAGAACGAGTTACCCGTGTCTCGACTCTTGTTAAAATCCTTAACCTAGGAATTAATTATTTACCTCTCTAATTAACGCTCCTCTTCCATAAACTCCCCCATAAAATCAAAGTTGTTAAATAAAAATATTTTCTCTAATAAGCCCCCAGGACTATCATTAGAAATATAGCAAAAAAGCAAGTTAGTGTTTTTGTGTCGTTTTTACTGTATCGCCAATATCTAAAAAGACGTCATCATCATAAAATCTTTTCGAAGTTGCGCATTGCTCTTGTCGACTAACCAGTTCAGGTAAGTAAACAGACAACTGGGAAGGATTCTAGTATCTCAACAGTTGATGAAGCAAGGACCGAGATACCGGGGGGGGGGGAGGATGGGCATTGGCCCCCCAAAAAACTTTGGTAGCATAAGTAAATTACTTTCATTTTGTAAAATATGGCTGTTGTTAGACTAAGTTATCAGGGCTGCCCCCAAACAAAAGTTGTTTCTCGGTCTTTGCCATGCAGGTTATAAAAAACTAAAAAACAGCCACGCCCTGTGAATAAAACGAGAAAGAGAATCCATTTGAAATAGCAAATTTCTGAGGTAGAGGGATATAAAAAAGACTAAGATTGATTCAGATAAAAAGAAGATGATTTTTTAACAGTTGAATCGATATTATTCTTTTCAGATTTAGCATGGATTGACTTGCAAAAAAAAATTCGATAGACACCTCTCTATTAAAAACGCCCCACCCTTATAGTTGACCCTCCTAAACCTCAAAATTTTCAATAAATACTAAGGCGTTAGATTAATAAATAAACATACGAAATTACCAGTGAAAAGCATGTGTTTGGCTAAAATATCATTGTTGTTTTTACCTGGTTCACAGATGTAAGAAACAGGACAAAATTACAAGACGCCGTGCTTATGTGACAATATCTCCGTCGATTTGTAACAGATATAACTGATTTTGCCCATCTAAAAGTATTTTGTGGTGTTCTCTTAGATTACTGAGTCATAATTCTAAAACGCTAAAAATATGATTCTTTAATGACGTCAGTTCTGCCACTGTGCCTTTCTGGAAGAGACTTGCAATGAACTTATATCAGTTAAGGTAATGAGCAAGAGGCTGCTGATGACGTATTTTTACTTGTTTTCGCGAGGTATATCACTTTGACAATAGATTTTTATTGTGACATCCCAAAATATACTTTTGAAAAATGTGAACTGTTTTTCCTTAACCGGGGGGAACATAATAAAATATATTTTAAAAATGAAAATTAGTGAATATCTCATAAGTTGGACAAGATATGGCTAATTTAACATTTGAAGTCAGCTAACGGATTGCTTTTATTTTGGCCTGGTTGGCAAAGTGTAGAACAAAGTCTAAATTACAGTGATAGGCCTATGCTTACAATGCTAATGTAGGCTCATCTTGGCAAATTTGTGACACGCTTAACATATTTGTCACATTTTGCTACTGGATAGGCCCATACTAGTTATTCCCCACGTCGATTTGCAAAGACAAAGAACTTTATCTTGATTTTTGACAACAACAAAAATCGTGCAAAAAGGGACACAGAATGTCCTTTTCTGCCATTTTAATTTTTGATCATTAGTGTATGTATGTTGGTGTCCGAGAAGGTTTATCAATCACAAAACAGAAAATGAACGTAACAAGCCAATGGAAACTCTGTCTCTAAAAATTGTTTTATAAAAAGAGAACATTAGTTTCATGTTATGTGTATACAGAAGCAATTTGAGCTCATCAAAGAGGTAAAGTAACTCTTGTAGAGCAACTCCCTTTGCACGCAGCATGGAAAATCGTGGATGATTGTAAAGACTGCTCTGCTCATGTTAAAATTAATTAAAATAATTTCAAGTGCAAACTTTTTCAATATAACACTACAACAAGTTTCTACGACCTTCTCGTTGCTAGTCATGTAGGATTGCATTAATTACATAACTACCATAACATTCATTAACCAACTGTTTTCTATCACCAAATATTAAGCCTTCTACCAGATAACTCTAAATTGCAATCAAAATATTGCAATTGCTTTTAATAGGAAAAGGGATCATAGCAATGTAATATGAAAATTAATTTCATCGAGTTTGAATGTAAAGAAAAGTTCAGCGTTTTGAACAAAGTTTTGCTGTTATATGACCTCTAATGTACGCAGTTCTAGATGTTCATGAACTTTAATAACTTGCACTCTCCAACATAATAAATTTCAACAGTGTAGAAAGAACATTGTCTATCTAAGAGGTTGAAACAGTATGAAAGCCACAAGCAATAGATGTTGTACATTAAATAAAATGTTTGCGAATAATCTTAAATCAGCAAAAAAAGTCAACTGAAAGTTAAGGTATAAAGAGCCATCATTGGGGACCAGGAGCTGGGGGAGGGGGCTATAGCCCTGTCACCATTTTACTGAACTATAATATTCAGGTAATGACATGAAAGCTAATGTGTGAAAAACTAACATAAACGTTCCCAATTTGTCTCAGCCAACATCCCCCCCCCCACTCCAAAATGTGCCTAGGGACATGT